CAATCTTTATTTTATGACGATCAAAGTAACTGTCTTCAAAAGAAATTGTTACAAAATGGATGAATTATTGAATCAATTTTCTTATACCCTTTAATCAAAAAATATTTTTCATTTGTATTCCAATATTAATATTATTCGAGCCATCAAGATTTTTCAAAGTGGTAATTTTTCATCAACTATCTCTCCCCCCCCTCTCTCTCTCTTTCTCTCTCTCTCTTTTTGTCTTTCGCGCTTTTAGTTTTTTTTCGCGTTCATAACATTTCTAGACCTTCTTTCTTACTCATTTCATACGTTTACAATTTTTATCACTTCCTTGATTAACATTATCCGGTAACTATTTTCGTTCCGCTTCGCAAATCAAACACTGAAATCACGCATTATTAAAAAGAAATCCCTATTTCTTTTTTCTTTTACGTTTGGCATCGTATTTTCTTCGAAATTTTTTATTTACATATTTCCCTCCGATTCTCTTTCTCTTTTTCTTCGTTATCCAATCACTAGAAATTTATTAAGAACAGGGATATCCTTTCCGCCAGATTCTTCTGAACGAAAGGAATATTTTCAAAATGTTTTCAGAAACAAACGTGAAGCTTATCTCGATTGGATAAGAGAAAATCGAAGTATGTACCTATTTACTTGGAACATACATATGTTCAAGATAAATGTACGCGATGCGTTTTTATTTTTCTTCTTCTTTTATCGTTCTATACTTTCCAAACCTCTGACGATTTCTGCTTGAGTTCTACCGGAAATTTGCTAGAAACATGTTATGTTATTTTACTTCTCTCTCTCTCTCTCTCTCTCTCTTTTGATTACATATATACGATTATGACAAAAGTGATCAAAAAAGTTATTACTTTCGAACATTCGACGTTCTTATTTTCTAATTGAATTTTTTGAAGTTCAATGAAAAAATAATAACGTATAATAAAGATTATAAGAGCTACATCCTCATTACCTACATCTGGCTATCCCTCATTACTACATCAGGCTATCTCTCAAATCGTCGCAGTAGAAACGTAGCACTCTCTTGGGTGAACATTTGCAAAGTAGTCAACGACTTTCAGCTACTTTTCATCGTACTGAATATGATTGCATAATGCGAGTGCTCCGTGGTATACCAGATATATATAAATTGTACATATATACATACATACATACATATATACATATATACATATACGCATATATGCATACATACATACATACATACATACATACATACATACATGCATGCATGTATACGTATGTACATATTTACGTACTCAAGTACGTACCGAATCTCTTCTCGAACGCATAATTTCGAGATGTGAGTGCATTATAAAAGCGATTGTATGTGCTTTTTCATCGAATGTATACATACAAAATAGGAATTCTATTCGAAATTTACTGGAGAAACCTTCGGATAATTCTTCCTTAAAATCGAAAATTCCAACACGACCACTCTACGCACGGCAATGAAAGAATTGCATGCGTCAATAAACACGTTTGTGAAATCGTATAAGAGAAAGAAAGGGAGAGAGAGAGAGAGAGAGAGAGAGAGAAGAGGAGAGAGAGAGAATGAGAGAGAAAGAGAAAGAGAGAGGGAAAGAGAAAAAAAGACAGAAAGAAGAAGAGAAAAAAAAAGAGAGAAAGAGAAAGAGAATAAACCTAACACACCGTTACGAAAAACTAGAGAATTTAGGAGAAATTGATGGTGCAGGTGTCTGATCGCTAATCCGGAGAATCACTACTACGCTCGCAGCTTCGGGATTTTTGCGGTAACCTCGTACCTGGTAATCATGCGCACAAAATACACGTGCTTTTCTACATTGAACCAACGATACGTCGGTGGAGGAACCTAATACGATTTCAGGGTAGAAAGGACGCATATAACGGACTCTCTCACAGTAGTGAGAGACCTAACTAAGAGTAGTTAGGTTAGCACGTCGGTGAGAGAGGTAGAAATACAGGAATGACGAGAACAAAATTTTCTCGAGTACATTACTATCGTTAATAATTACGAGTACGAGATATTCTCTCTCTCTCTCTCTCTCTCTCTCTCTCTCTCTCATCTTTGTTATAACGACAGCCCAAACGTATTTTGCAAATAGCGTAAATGACACTTCGGATGATAACGCCTGTAAATCTCTTATTACCACGTTATACTTCCTTTCACATCGAATTATCGTGTTGCAACGCATGACATTGCTAATTAATTAATCCGCATATGGAAATGAATATAATCGGGCGGATTTATTCATGAGCCGGGATGGACCATAATTTATAACGTATTTGGGTAATAACCATTAAATGCGTCTACTTCAACAACGTACCGTTATAATTACCTACATACACACATATATATACCCTTTCGTTCTCTCAAGTAGTCGGTTCGTATTTTCAAGTCACTGTAACAAAATTTTTCTTTTTTCTCTCCTTTTCTTCCATTTTTTATTTTAAGAGATAAACGCAATAAATAAATATATATATATATATATATATATATATATATATATTTATTAATGTACATTATGATCTCTTCTCGAACAAGATAACGACGTCTTCAATAGTTTTGTTGTAAACTGACAAATCGAAGAAATTATACGTAAGTTGAAACGTAACAAAAGAATGGAAAACAAGAGAACTTAACAACGTCATAGTTACTATAATTAGTGTATAATTAGTTTAACGAGCTTTCATTCTTACGTGTGCTATAGATAAAAATCAAAGAGTATCATTTACTATATTCTTACTTCATATCTTATCTAAACTTTCTGTAAGTTTGTTTTATCAAATCTTATGTTCTTTTAAATCGAGTATCCTTATTGTTATGTTAGTCCTTAATCTTTTTTAATGTATTCGATATCCTAAGAATTCAGTTTTAATAAAACAAATTGGAATATTTTTGAACATTAATTATTGTTATCTTGAACAAATGTGAATTTTTTATTATCGAGAACAAACATCAAATCTCTAATGGATTACATAAAGAAAGAGACAAAATAACTCATCTATGCTATCACTTAAAATTAATTAATGTCACAAGAGTTAAACAAATATAATTAGAAATTCTATAATATTTATGTATGTTTTAAAACTACGTTACTAATTAGATTATAACATAATAACAAAGAAATCTTAAATGAGCAAAAAAATTAAAATTGACCATCATTGGACTATAATTTGTCGTAATATGTTAAAAAAATAAAACGTTTATCGTAACGAATAAAATGTTTTTTGTTTTTCTTTTTGTTGTTATTCTTGTTTAAATTTAGCTAATTCACTGACAAAGTAGGACGACAGGATCTTGTCATAAGCTCGTTCATGTCTATAGTGTTCATCATCCTTTCAAGCGATCCCATCAGTCGACATTAAAAATTGGTGGCGCTTTACAGCTTAACTCGTAACAAGCTGTAGTCACTAAAGGAATAGCAACTCTAAACCCTCGACTGTGGTAAACGTAGTCAAGATTTCTCGCCACAACTCGGCTAATGGAAGGCGCGTGTGGCGAAATTAGTTGTCATTCGTCGTCTCGGCATAGTAAATGGAAAGCGCTCGTAGCTTGTTGAAAGCCGTTAATCCCACTGAAAATTTCTCTACTCTCCCTTGCCCATCCTTAAGATGTGTATGAGTAAGAGGTGTACGCGGATAATTCAAAAGCACTTGCCTATCGCTCACGGTAATCCGACTTTACAGTTTTCCAAAATGAGAAAATACATTTTAAGGCTTCTCAACGTGGTAAGAGAGCAGTAGAAATTCATTTCAAATGTTTCCACGATCGGTCGCAATGAGAATAAAAATGTAAACGTTATTAAATGAGAATTATAGAATTCATTTGACGAAAATAATGTCATATTAAATTATAACATAAGCTCTTGAGAGTAGAGAATGCGCCTACTACTACTGCAACACGTATTACTGAGTAGCCTAGCACGTTGTCTAACTCACTGGGCGAGTAACAAATTTATCGAGCAACATATAGACGTGTATAATCACGTTAGAAAGGAATGCGAGAAAGCATACATATACACAACTTTTATACATACATCGAAAATCTCAATGGGTCCAAAGCTGTTTGACCAGGTACCGTACGAGCAGCATGTTTCTATGAAAAGACTACGTGCTTTGAAAGACCGACGATACTCCGTGAAAATTTAAATTATTATCATTATTACGACGATTCAAAAACGTAAAAGTCAGATTAAACGTTAAATCTACGTTTAGTGTCATCTTGAATTAAAAAGAGAAAAAAAAAATAATAACAATCAATGATGTAATATCTTTACTTCATTCTATCAATATTTTCTTCCAACCAAAACTCAAGTATTGGGTTGGCAACTAAGTGATTGCGGAAAGTGTAAAATCCATCTATCGACAAAATCCACAATCACTTAGTTGCCAACCCAATATTATCTACGTGTATATTATAATTCAATGAAAGTAATAAAACTCATCTATTACATTTGTATATTTGAGTTTCAAACATTTCTTAAACGATTCTCACGGAAAGTTATAACCGTCTACAAATAGATAGACTTACATGCGAAAGTTCGCCCTTCTCAGATGGTTAATGCGCAAGGAAAAGGCGAAATATTCAAAAGATTGGTACAACTTTTGTAGAAAAGTAATGGCGAACATTTAATTGGCGAATACATTATACTATATATATACCGAACGAACTTTCCTATTTTAAAGAGCAAAACAAAACGCTCGAATTTGTAAACTGATGCAATTTTATTTGCGAATGTCGAATATGCCCTTAATAATAATAATCGACGGCCGTTTATGCTTTGTTCTTTGAGCTCACGGTAAATTAATACGTTTTATATAAACTACATATAATGTGTATATCTGTGTGTGTGTATATATATATATATATATACCACATATAGTTTCTCGCACATGTGATAAAAATAAATGAAAGATAGTTGATAGGAATTTTCTGAAGAAACGACGTTATCATGTTTGATACTTTTTCCGTCGATTTATTTGCACAATCAGAATTTATATGACGCATATAATATAAATAAAGCACGAATGGGCGTAAATGAAACGCAATGTTGGGATAGATAATTAATTGATATGCGAAAACAATAAAGAAAACGACTAGAGCTAGAACGGAGAGATCGAGAAAAAAATATAAAATATAAAAATAGTCGAATTATGTATAGTGAATCATCCTTGAAGTAACTATAGAAAATGTTGATAAATTACCAAACGTGTAAAAAATACTTCTTCATTATCTATACTTATTTTCTTTTTTTTCTTGTTCCAATAAAAATACATATGTTCATCTAGAAACGATATTCGATTAGCCAAGAGAAACTATTCTTTTTGCAAAGATAAAGAAACTTGGACAGTAGCGATGACGATTTCCATGTCTTGTTGTTAAAAATAGCATGACTTCTTAAACGAAGATTTCTACTTCAAAGAAACACTATTCCATGGCAACAAGTTTAAAAGATCTAAAAAAACATAGCACGTTTGAAATGATCGCTTCCAAAGTTTACAAAATTTTAACTTTTTGAAATAACGTTGAAAAATCTACCAAAAAGTAAAAATATAAGCCTAATTTAGAAACATAATCTTTCGTTGAGTGATCTTAAAATTGATTTTAAACGTTAAAAACATTAAATAATTCTCATTAAAAATTAGTCCGTTTTTAAATCTAATTATTTAATTATTTAGACTTAAATTATTCATACTTACTTACTTATATCAACTTTTTTATTTTTTATAACTACGATAAATTCTATTTTCTTTTTCTTTTCCCACATAATTCCTATAACATTAAAGGGAATAAATACATGTAGCTTGATAAAAAAGAATAAATTTGATGTCAATGTTTTCAATGAATCGTTATCGTATCGACATGGCATTCACGTAGTAACGATCATTCATTTAATCCACAACACACGTCCACTCCGCATGGACTTCATTTTTCCTGTGAAAAAAAAAAAGCAAAAAAAAATAAAAGACGCGTACTGGAAAGCATTTCCACTTGATTAAAAGCATCGGGAAACGTGTCGTAGCGGTCAATATGGCGAACAGCAATGTTTTACATGGCTCATACATAGTATCCACGTTTCTATACGTAAATACTTACACAGACATTTATTCGCGTCTAAATAGTAAACGTGCATCCAGATGCGAGATACAAGATTCGTATCTACTTGATTGTATCTCAAAACATTCAGTAGTATCTCAAACGCATTCTCCGTTGAAATATGTACATAAGCTACCTTCAAAAGGGAGACGTTTATTGAATTAACCAATTACTTCTCCAAACCCATTCGAGTGAATCTCAAAGTGCAAAAGGGTATGCCGACATTGAGACCGCTCTTAATTCAATATAGAGAGAAAGAGAAAGAACGCGGAAACGCGTCAGGTGTTTCAGTAGAGATCTCTGCCAGTGAAAGAAGCAACCGAGATAACCAAACGTCTTTATCAATTAAAGAGTTGCACTTACGAATCAAAAACGGAGTATAAATCTATCAACAACATCGTTTTCTTATCAGTGAATGTAAGTGAGAAAATGGAAGAGCGAAAAGTCGATCGTCGAGAAGAGAGAGGAAAAAAGAATAAAGAGGAAGGGGTGGGGGCACGTGTAGAAGGATGAATAGAAAAGACGGAAGAAAGTTTATGAGCATATCGCGCTGCCAAGAGACAAGAAATCAGTACTCGAAAGAAAGAAAAAGACAAAATATACACAGCGTGTTTACGAATGCATATAGATATATATATATATATATATATATATATATATATACATATATATGTGTATATTCGCACATACGAGAAAAATGAGAAGAGAAAGAAAAAAAACAAGTCAACGTCGAATCCATCCTAACAGCCGTTCGTCTTTCGTTCTCGATACGACACGACGTTCACGAAGTTGAGACCACAAAGAAGAATAACGAGGTCGAGGAAAACACCTAAGTCTCTTCCTTTTTTCCTTCTCCGCACAGTCATACGCCGTAGCCGTAGTTTTCCACGCGAGGAGTCACGTGCCTGTTCTTTTTTCTTTCTTTCCATCCGTCGATGATCCCCTCCTCTCAAGACGATCCTTCAAGAGCCTTGCGATTCGCTGAAGTCACGGTTAAACCTTCCAACTTCGAGCCGATACGAGATTTTTGATTTACCTGGTACTAACTTTTATTATTTTCCTTTCTTATCGTTTTATTCTTATACTTTCTTCCTTTTTATATTTATATCTACATGTTCTTTTTTCTTTTTTTTTCTTTTGTCTGAATAATTCTATATGCGTATATATTTGACATCGTTGCCATATTGAAACGCCAACTGTAAATGTTTGATATATGAATATTGTTAACAAAGAGATTTCAATATTTTAGCATGATCCATTACATCGTAATCTCTATACAATTTTCTAAGTGAATATTTTATCAATTTACAACTTATACTTCGAATAAATGGTACAAAAAATAAATTTATCTTGGAATTGTTTGAATCGATAATACGCGTGAAAATAAACGCAAAGATTGCGATGCACATTATCAATACGATAGAAATTTTCTCTTATATAAGAAAATCTTAATAACTTAATAATTACTTCGAAAATCGAAATCTTATCGTATTGTAAAGGTTCGAGGAAACTGTGGGATGACGTAAAGAAAACACAAACTCGTGTCAGTAAAAATAAGGGTTTCTTCCTAGAATTCTTCCACCTTCTTTCGTTTCTTTGTCTCTAACGCCTCAAATTTCCAGTTCCGTACTTTCGGATTATCTCGGCCAAACCAGCTGTTCTCTTACGGATTTTCGTCTGCAGCTTGCAGACATACATATATATATATATACATACTTCGAACGTTTCCACGTAGCAAAATACTAAACCTTAGCCAACCCCGATCGACACATATTCCCAAGAGTATTGATTTGTATAATTTATCGATAAACTTGCGTTACGATCGTGACACATGCGAGAACCAAAATCTTATGAAAATTTATCGAAAATACGATCTTGAGAATTCAACCTATCGGTCGAAAGCGATTAATCAGAATGTTTCGTATTTACTATTATACCTTTCGATTAGTTACATAGATTGAAGGTTCATCGTTCATTCTCTTCTCAACGTGTTTGTCACTATCTATATGATTTTCCGTTTATTAAATAATTCGCTAAAAAGGAAAACATTACGAGCGCAATAAATGATATGCACTATGCGTACACATGTAGTTTGACATTACAAAGTGAAGCAAACATTTACTTGACACTTGCTAATATACAGCGAGAAATGAGCTTTCTCAAAGCATGGTTCTTGATAATCACTAGTGATATTTTGTGCATGTCGTGTAGTAACGCGTTTCTTTTGCTAATACAAACTGGTTCAAGGGAAAAAAAACAAATAATAAGTAACGAGTGAACGATAACACTATAGCATTTACGTTTATTGAAAGATTCTAATATGCATAAAGTTACAATATGTTATACATACACACACATACTTTTGATCGATGTTCATAAAAGAATATGTTGATCTAAGCGCTATTCGTTAATTAATTTTTCAATTAGCAATTTGTTATATCGTTATATTATTGTTATTATTTTCAATTTAACAATTATTATCGATCATTGATAAAAAGTTTGTTATTGATTTTTCTTTCAGAAAAAAAAATTTCGATTTATATCTTTCGAAGAACACAATATCAGGTATAATGCGTAATGAAAACGTGACTTAACTATGATGATTCACATTGTTTTATGTATTTCTCGATTATTTGTTATCGCGAGTCCATTGCGAACTGTTTTCATCATAGAAATTCATTGAAAATACTCTAGAATTTTTCTATCGCTCAATATCTCGTCTATATGGGGAGATCTGTTGCTGACATTTTACATTTTCTATATAAATGTACGAAATGTAAGAAACGCAAGAGAGAAAGAGAGAGAGAAAGAGATGATATTCCTTTCGGTATTGATACTTTTCGATTTAAACTGATATTTTCATGAAGTAAAATCATTCGTATAGCTATTATCTAATGCAGAGACGTAGAAATTTTTCGTCGAGAGAGAAATAATTTTTTTTAATTTTGTTATTCAATTTAATTCTCCTTGAATATTCGTACTCTTTCAATGTTTACCAATGTGTACATTTCGAATGAGTAATATATAAATACAAATTCTTTCTTTGTGATGAGACAGAAGTATCGTGACTCTTGCAATCTAACGATCCACGAATAAACAGCAGAGAATTTCAATATGGTGGAAACTAGAATTTATAAAGGAGAAAAAAAATAGATGAGGTACGATTGACAATACGAATCAGGCTTACACGTTTCTAATCTAATGCTAGGAACTTTGTCGAAATAGACATACATTGTTTCACAAACAATGCATATAAATTCCTACACTTACTAATCACTGAAACAAATCATATTAGATAAATACTCTTGTTAATTTCTGTTATCAGATTCAGTTTTATAATGTACGACAAAATAAGCTAAATTTTATGCAAAAATATAAGATAACCGGTATCTGCTTGTGTACACTATCATCAATCCTTTTCCCGTCGGTTACGTTCGAGAATCTGTTATAAGAATTTAAAAGTTAATTTAAATCGTATCAATATCATTATTAATATATAAATATAAATATATATATATAAATATATATATATATAAATATATATATATATAAATATATAAAAAATATATTAATTACCGACAGTATAATAATTACGTTATATACTCGTATAAGATCCCAAATAATAACAAATTTTATTGGATTGTCTGACACGATTGATTTTTTTCTTGTACTTATCATAAATAGATAATATATAACGTATCTATTTACTAGTTGGAGAAAGATAATAAAAAATTAGTTAAGTACGAAGAAAAATCTCAAGAAAGATAGTTGAGGTAAAACCATGCAAGACTAGACTCACGAACGTCGTTGCGATCACTTTTGTATCAGTAGAATCGAATGACGTCAGATAGATCACGTGATTAAGAGATTTAACGCGCATGCTTAGATCGATGGGCGGTTCGCTCGCTAATCTTAACACGTGCGTTCAATTCTGTTCACCCTTCAGTAACGTTCGTGAAACTGATAAGTGACAGTACACATTTATTCGGGCCATTACCTGCAGCTTGAGAGAGAGAGAGAGAGAGAGAGAGAGAGAGAGAGAGAGAGAGAGAGAGAGAGAGAGAGAAAGAGAGAGAGAGAGAGAGAAGGAAGAAAAAAGAAGTAAGTATACTTGAGACGGCGGAGAAAACGGAGAAATCGGACGGTGTGTCGCGCTAAATATCGCTTTGGCGTATAATCGACGTTTAGAAGGATCGAGAATTCGCTTTCCGCGTAGGCGGAAATCGCCAGGTACAAATACGGAAGGCGCGTTCAAGCGAACGAATGTTTCGCTTTCCTCGTAACGACACGACCACGTGTAACCACGATGACGGCATTGCTATTTTCTACGATAGTATTACAACAAGAACTTGATTTTATGCGCGCGAACATCATCATCATCATCCTTTTCTTCTTGACATTGTCGTTCTCGTTGGCTTCGTTGCCAACAATGATATCGAGAGCGCAATCCAGATATATACGCAAGGATCTTTTCTTTTTTTTTTTCTTTCTTTTGTTTATCGTCGATAGAAAAACGTACAGAAGTATTTACAAGAGATAACAACGAATAAACGTCATTTTTCACTTCGTAATCGAAAAGAACGAGATTTCCTTTGTTTTTTTCTTTAACTTTCACTTTTTTTATTCTCCCGAGCTTTTGTCTATCTTTTCCTTTTGTTTTATAAAATAGCATTACATTACCGATTATCGTGCTTAGTTATCGTCCAGGAAACATCGACGATCGGTGGATACAGAAAACTTCGTCGTTTACCTTAATTATATGTTGTAAGTCATAAATTGTGTTTTTGTTCTTGTAGTGATCGTACGAGAAAAGAGCCTGTTGAAATTCGATTGACCTTGTCGATGTATGTTTGTTGACGCTCTTCTATGTACAGAGCCAAATGTCGCGCCCTTGTAGAAAAACCCAATGATTCCACGAATCACGTCGAATTAGATATAGACGAAAAGCATGTTCTGACTCTCTCGTAGTGTCCGTTATATTAATTTTAATTGGATTTATATGTTGTTTTATCTTTCACGTAAGTGAAGGATATTATATTAAACTATATTCGTCGTGTCTTTGGAAATAATATTTTTCGAAATACGTGCTTCTTTGTTACTTTTTCTGAAAGTTTGGTTTTAGTTTAATTCTTCTATGTTTAAAAAAAATATCGTCCTATTACAATATATAGAAAATGGTGCGAGAAGGAATTTAACTTTATTATTTGTTTCAGGTAAATTATAAACTTTGAAAATATGGTGGTTTCAACTATAACAGAAAATGGAACAACAAATGGGGAACAATCTTCCCTAACAATGGGTATTGCGCCTGGAGATTATCGTTTAGTTGGTTGGGATATGGATACTACTGGCAAAAAGTTGACAGATGAAATTTGTCAAATTGCTGGATACACACCTAGCTCTGCTTACTCTCAATATGTAATGCCTTACAAGGATCTTAATCCTCCTGCTATCAAGCGGCACAACATGAGAGTTGTAACTGTTGGAAAATATCGTATGCTTAAAAACAGTAAAACTAACAAGGTAGGTTCTTATAAGTATTCTAAAAAGAATATTTATTTATTGATTCTTTTATTGTTTTGTTGAAAAGTAAACTTGATACCTTCTTTTAGGTGTTAAAAACTAAGAGCGAAGTGTCTGCATTAACAGACTTTTTAACTTGGTTGGAGTCTGTCAAAGGAGATGCAGCAGATGGAGTTATATTGCTTTATCATGAACCGCGTAAGGTTATTCCTGCTATGGTACTTGAATCTTTGCAAAGGTATAATCTTGTGGAAAGATTTAAACAAACTGTTAGAGGTTTTGCTAATGGTTTCAATATTGCCGAGGCCAAATGTACAAATTCTGTACATACATTTTCTCTACGTACTTTGTCACGTACATTACTTAAGAGGGTAAGACTATTAATAATATTAAAATATATAGTAATTTTTAAAATAATAATTAAATTGAAGATAAAATAAGACTTTATATACTTTTTTAATAGACAGAAGAATTAGATAATGCAAAAGATAGAGCATATCTGGCCTTACAAGTTTTACAACATATTAGTCTGCAAGAAAATACAAAGGTAGGCGAAACAAGTGGAAGTGGCGATAGTGATACAGCTATGAAAAGTACAATCGAATTTATTCAACCGTTCGTACAACCCATCCATATTGAAGAAGAAGAGCGTGCAAGTAAGTATTTAAAAATACAATGACACGTTGTTTTATATGTTACATAAATTAAACATAAAACTGCACAGAACTGAAAGTGGTATTCGAACGGCAAAACAGTCTGAGACCAATTTTTGGTCCATTGTTTAAAGCAAGTCGCAAGGAACGCCAACACGCGAGTCCTTTACGTCGACTATTGGCTGAAGCTGGTATAGAGTATTCGCAATTACAGGTTAGTACATATTGGGTTGTCTGGAAAGTTCATGCCGATTTTGCCCTTACGCCACCTACCAAAAATCGCTATATTGTTATCATATAACATTACATATTTATTTCTTTAATTTATATCAGGAAGCATGGTCTAATGGTCAGAAACAAGGTCTAGAGAAATTAATAAAAGAAAAGCTAACTGCAGCAGAAGACAAAAAAATAGAGGATCTGATAAAAGTTTTGGAAAGTTATTTTGATCCTGAGAAAAATTCAAAAGCTAAAATGAGGCACGAAAAGAAAGAGACGAAGTCAGAATCTTCAAAGATCATAGATGATAGAGAAAATAACAATAAGTGTGACTCAGGTACTGAAACTCCTGATACTACATCAAGTTCTCCTATCAATACAAAATTAGAACTACCAGAAATTGATAAACTCTCATTGGAAAACTAAATCTTGACACGTTGAAGTATAATTGGTTAATAGAATCTAGCACTTTGAAAATAGTTTATCAAATCAATATGTGATTGACTTTAACTCTTCAAAGCATTAGATTCAAAGATAAAGTAGATTCATAACTGTTAATGTTCAATGTGCCTTAAGAAAAATGAAAGTTACAATTTCATATTATTATTTTTTTTTTTATTTGTTATGATGAAAAAAGAGCTATGTCCCTGCGGGATATATCGTTGCAATCGACTAATATAAGTATGTAATCAACAAATTAATTATTTTTAGTTTGTTTTGCCATGATTGTTATTTAATATTCACTTCGTTGAAGTTTATCCCTGAATTTTATATAATTTTTTTACATAATCATAAGATCGATTAAAATTCTAATAAGGATAAGATCGTTCACAGAGAACTGATCAATATGTAAGATGAACGACATTCAAACGATAACAGATTATTAAACAAATTAGAATAGAATGACTTTTGTTTTGTTCTTTTTTTTTTTTTTTTTTTTTATATATATATACTTCAGAGGAAGTAGAGTTAGAATTTATGTTTATCAACAAACTAAAAACTGAAAATATAGAGTTTATTTTTTCCTAACATCATGAAAATTTATTTTATCTAAATACGATTCACGGTTGTTCTTACTTATATGTTCAGATATCTCATTGTATTATTATTGCATAATAAAGATTTAAACTTAAGACTTGTACTTCAGGCGTCGTTTTAATGAACACTTTTCCTCGAACGGGACCTTCCCATTTTTTATCGTAATATACGGAAAAATACAAAGTAATTTCTTAGAACGATATGGTACACGCGAGATAAGCTTCCGGATAACGGACTAAGGAGAGGGGAGATAAAAAAGTAATTCGATCATTTCCATCGTGATTTTAAAGTAAGAAATTCAACATTAATTCTCCTTTGGCCGGCAACGAAAATGAACAGAAAAGCAAATTAAATATGGGAATATTTTTCGCAACGAAGCGTTGTATCCGCTATTGTAAATTTCCATAAAGTATGCCGATATGCCTCGAGGCGTAAATAAAATGAATTATTTTTATTATTTATTCAATTACAAAACTTTTTTGATAAATTCAAAACCTTTAAGTAAAAACTTTATATTCGATAAAGAATAAAATTCGAACTATTTTCACGTGTCTTAAAAAATTGATCTTATAAATAGATATCAATATACAAAATAATGCTCATATTTATGCTGGGACAAAAATAAAGTATAAATTTAGTTTTTTTCCTGACTTCGATCTACGTATCTATTCATTTAGTTTATCGAAACACGTATTAATGTAAAATCAAATTAAAAAATGCGTTTGCCTTTCGCTTTAAGTAACATATTGATAACCTCAAAATTCAATTGGACTATGGATAGTTTTGAAAAAATTTTAATTCCTCCAATAATTTGAATCTTAACAAAAACAACAAATTATATTCATAAGAAAATAAAATGGAATTTGCTCGAATGTAACACCCATTCGATTCGGTAAAAGTTTTCATAAGAGATTACGTTGGAAGTGGAAGTTTACATGACAAGTATAGAAAGTTGTGGCGCCACTTTTGAAAACGAACGAACGAAAGTCACGAAACTCGCGAAATATGTAAGATATAGACGAATGATTGGTAGGAAACTCTGTTCGTTATCGTCTCGAAGCACTCGTCGGCCTCGTTTCTGTCATTATCGTCCGCTATGGTCTGTAACGTGAAAGAGCGAATCGCTGCGTAACGTGCGGCCAACAGCAATAATTATATCATTAATCTTAAACACTAGCAACGTCGGCTAGTTGTGTAAAGTGGCATCTGTATTATATATATGTATATACATATATGTATATATATATATATATATATATATATATATATATATATATATATATATAATAGGTATGCGTGTTGTGTGTGACTGTAAGGAAAAACGCCACATGTCACAATTTCAAAAGATTTGACTTAATTGGGTATTAATTGAGCTATAGAATATAGAACTTGTGTTTATCTGAAAAAAATGCATGAAAATAAATTTTATATATCAAAAAAATAAATCCAATTTAACAGAAGTCTGATAAGAAGAATTAAAAAATTTATTATTTAGAATTTTAAATAATTACAAGTATCTCGAAAATGAAAATATGTGATACGAGGAGTATTCTTTACAATCATATATATATATATATTTTTTGCCATTGCTGCGATCATGATGATTTGCGAATAAATTCCGAGGACGATGATAGAAGACTGAGACTTGCAGGAAAGTCAAGAATTCATTGCAAAAAGTCTTTATGCTAGCAGACCGCACCCCGTTAACGCTGAGAATTGCTTTCGTTTCGCGCGAATCGCTTCACGGAAGCAGATGCTTCCGAGCGGACGAATTTGAGAGGGAAAAAAAACTATACCCCGAGATCTATACTTTAGTTATCTTTTAATAAGATGAACGTTCTTCTCAAAAGAGAAATGGCTTCTCTGGAATGGAATTAATGTGTTCGTTCATTTTTATTTCTCCTCTTTTCTTCTAGGTTGTATTTTGTCAAAAATTTTTCAAAAAATTACATAATAAACGTTAAAGATCGTAGACAAGGATTCGTACTTTAAATAAATATTCGAATCCTAAGGCAAATATATTAGAAATGTTCATTTTGATATATCGATAAAAAAGCATTAATTAATGGTTAGATACATGATTGTACATTTTATTTTCTTTTTGGAAAAACGTCTGTTTTTATATCCATCGATGATTTATACTTACAAAACATATTCCATTCTATTATCGATTTCATTTAAAACTTGGACGCATATATATTTCTTTTGTCAGGGACTTCCTTTCGAACAAAACGTGAATTCTATTTCCGCTGTATCGATATGTAGTCCCTAGAAGCGACTATAAAATAAATATTGTTTCTTTTTACTCTTCTGTACTTCTAAAAAACAAAAACAAAAAAATAGAGAAACAAGATTTAAAAGTATTCACCGATAACATCGTATATTCTCATATATAATCGGAAAGATATTCAAGTATAAAATCGATTCTACTCGTGTCAAATGATTTCGTATTGGTATTTTTATCTTACTTATTCGTATAGTTGTCATTTTAAATTATTATTGCGTAATATCGCACGATATGTACGGCATCTTGGATACATGTATGACACAGGTGCGTAATTATTAAATGATAAATGCCAGGAACGGAATGAAGCGTACAGCGCGTTTCGAATTCTCATGAAATATTTATATGAATTACACGCGACATTTTTCCTAGAAAATAATTTAACGCTATGTCGTAAAGTAATCCCTTATAGTCTGACTAAAAATACATGATTGCATGCGTTTTATTAGTGGTGCATGCATAAAAAATTAAGATATATACATATCTTTGAAAAAATGTCGAAAAAGAATAATAAAGAAAGAGAAGGTCGATCGATTAATTTCCCTGTTATCTCTCCGTTGCGTTTTCATATTTGGTGTATCTAAGGTAGTATATATAAACGTAGACATTAGAAGAAGTAAAATAATGAAGATGAAAAAGCAAAATTAATAGAACGTTCTACCTCAATTACAATCTTAATAATGACGGATAAACCACTATCTATCTCGTAATATTTTTCATAACGGGACGTCTCATTATTTTTCTTCGGGAGAAATAACGATATAAAAAAAGAAATATATTTTCTCTAAATGCATACACATACACACGCAATATATATATATATATATATATATATTTATATAAATATATATAAATATATATAAATATATATAAATATATATAAATATATATAAATATATATATTTTATGTATATATATGTATCCTATATATATGATATAATTATAATATATATACAAAACTGTTGGTCGTCCTTTCCATCTCGAAGGTAACATTGCTAAGATAGAATGACCTAGTTGTGTCATTCAACCCTCTGCATCGAAGATTATGTAACACGTTAATCCATAACGACGAATCTCCTCTCCACTCGGATTACAAACACCCTTGTGACTCGGTGTATGTATGGATAGATATGTGAATGCTTACATATATCTATGCATACAAATGCACGCGTATAAGTGCGATAACGTATATGTATATATATACGTTCCTGTACAAGTTATACCTATTACATAAGGTAATATAAACGGCACGTGCGCGCATGGCAGACGTTACAGAAAATAACGGAAAGGTAATCCAGCGGAACGTTCTGCGGATTAGAGTGCGTGACATCGTAGAGCATGCTTAAGCGCGCGAGTTCCTATCAGTCACTCAGTCAGTGACAAGTACAGCAAGGAACCGGGACAAATCTCAAATTATTCTTCCTCTTTTCGACGAGAAGACCGACTCTTTCTATTTTTCTTTTCCTTCTTTCTTTTTTTTTCTTTTTGTCACACCATCTGGCGCCATGGAAAAGAACTGAAACGATCTTGGTTTTGTTTCTGTTTCTTTCTTTTCCTTTCTTCTTCTTTCTTTCTTTTATATTACTTTTGTTTTGAAATAAAAAAGAAGGCAGCTTGAAATAGTTTCAAAATCATCATTATTTATTTTGCACAACGTTATAAAAAGCAATATTATTTTATTGCTAACATTTCCTGAGAATTCAATTAACTTTCGATATATTCTGAATAACTTTTTTCAAAAGACATCTCTTATATTTTGTTTTTTTCTTACAAACACCTGTGGATATTCGAAATTCATTTCGTAAGCGTGAAAGCATTTAAAAAATGTTTCTTTCATTCACGACAACGATGACGAAGGAGGATTCAAGTAACGCACGTACAAAGATATATACATACATATATACACCTTGCACCAAAATCGTTTGAAAAAATCGAAAAAAAATACATGCATAAATGCATAGATTCAAACGATTATATTTCCGGTACATATTTTTCTTTAATCGAAGAGACCACGACTCTGACCTAAAATTTACGCTGCAGAGAAGTCAGTAACCGGTTAAACAATTCCTCTATTATGCATACCATCAGATTCACGTTATGTTCCTTGATCCGTTGAGTTCGTGGCACCTCCCAGAACGGAAACCTTTTCTAGCACTGATCATCGTTATTTTATTTCTTTGAAATCGAACGGACGTAGAATCACGTTTCTTCGTAATAAAGAATCGATAATTATTATAATTTACTACCAATCATTACGATAAAATTAAGGTTACAAATAGTAAGATAGAAGATTATGTAGATAGGTATATTTATTTTTCATAATTAGTCTTACGAATATTTCTTCATACTTTCTAATATTTTTTCTTTTGATCTTCTATTTTTATATTAAATTATTTCGTAAATTTTGCAAATATATATAAAATTATCAATTTAAAAATATCGTTTGAAGAAATTTTCATGAAATTTTTTGAGGGAATAATTTTGGAATACGTTTGTAAATTAGACTCACGTCCTTGAGGAGATCATTTGTCGCCCTTAAAGAAAACGGTTGGTCAGAAGTGAAGATACAATGGCGACGTTACGGGGGCATCGCATGGCTTAAAGAGAAGGAGAACGAAGAGGAGGCAAAGGATGGTCGTTAGTGGAGGCACCGGGCATGCATTAACAGTACTCCGGATGGTCCGGTGATTCTTCGGTTCCATGACTTTCTCTCCCGCCTACCTATGAAGGAAGACAAGGTAGAAACAGAAGAAGAAGGAGAAGAATAAGAAGAAACAGAAGAAGAAGAAAAGAAAAAGGAGAAGAGTCCATAGTGCTGGCGTTACTGAAGACGCCTCGGGGGGAGAATTCTTGCGCATTCTCAACATCGAGTTAAGACTTCAGTCCGTCGTGAACCTTCTGCTAAATTGCGTCACCCCAAAAGGGCCGACAACATTGACTCTTCTTTCGGTTTATCTTCGTGAACTTGGATAAACTATACTTGCGTGAGACTAAATCAGTGGACAAGGATTTAACGAACGACGTCAGACATTCACGAACAGACGTGGAGATAGATTTGTTGACGACAAGATCATCATTGTCATTATCTCCGCCATTATGTGCCGAATCCTCGGAATTCTTGCATTATTTTCCACGGTGGGTGAAAAGAGACGGCTAGATACTATATCAAGAAAAATTTACAAACATTTGGTTCACATCGAGTTTTTCATTACATTAACAAAATTCATAACAAATATCACCTAAATTTCGTATTAAGTCAAATTTTTCCTACAAAAAATTAATAGGAGGTTAACGTTCCTGATTTTTTTGTCTTCATTAACGCAGGAAGCGTTTGATAACTTCAGATGCGATTCTTACAAACGAACTCAACTTCATTCAAAATATTGATAAAAAATGCATTTGAAATAAAAAACTAACGTAATAGATCCAAAATTATATTAACTATACTTCTTGCTTGATTTATAACTTTAAGATATAAATCTCTAAGATAAAAAGAAAGGATAATTTTCTTGATTACTTTATTTCATCTTTCTCATAGAAGGAAATATCTTATTCCTTAAACAAGAATTTCGTTCCATTTTATTGATTAATGATTTTCATATAACTTTCTTAATAATCTTTTTAATAGAGATCATTAAATCATAACTCACATTTGATTTTTTATTATCGTTATCCTGTCGCGAGTTTATATATATATGTATATGTATAGGTACGATATCTACAAAATGAATTATAAATCTTTTATTCCGTTCGTAAAATCGGACGAGAAGTCAATGGTTCTCTTTTGTGCAACCATGCAACAAATACGGGAAATGTATTTTATGTTATACTATAATCATCATTACCACTACTATGGTTAAATTGCCACCGAACCATGCCGGCAAGGATATACTATCAAGCACAAGATTTCGCGCATCGGTTCATTTTAATTTTTCAATCCAAGCAAAATCTCTTATCGTATATTTAAACAGTCCTTTGAAAAAGAAAGAAATTTACCGCAAAAAGAAGAAAAAATTCATTATTTTTTTTTCTTTTTCTTTTAGGAAAACAAAAATATATGACGGACCGTAAAGTTTCTTGCAAAAATAATTTCCTAAGTTTCGGAACAATAGAAAAACCGTTTTTATACGGCCATCGCGTTAAAAGACATGGTGAAAAGGATATTTATGTCGAAAGGATAAAGAAAAGAAAAGACCTTCAATGTCAGCAGGAAAAGAGATAGAGAAAAAAAAGAAAGAAAGAAAAGGATAGAAAGATGTTCCTGATGGGTTACACCGTTGCTTTTACATTGTCCCTCAATACAAATTGCATACCACGTGGGGCATTAATAGATGAGGGATATGAGTGAAAGCATAGAATTATTAGTAAAGGAAGAAAAAAGATAGAAAAACGGGAAGAAAGAATGTTAGAGAGATAGGTAGAAATAGATATCGCGTATGAATGCTTCCTGATGTGAAAAATGATGGGGAGAGGAGAGCGAGGAAAAAAAAATTGACGATGTCGTAAAAGAGTAGGTCACAGTTGTGTATTTTGAACGGAGAAAATAAAATCCACTTGCCCCAAAGGCAATTTCGGTGACCGGTCCTCGGCCGTTTCGCGTGGCGGATTTCGACCGTTTCTTCTTTCCCGTTACTTTTATATCCATTGATCGAACAAACGCAAGTACGTTTGTCGTTGTTGATACGTAAGAAAGAGAGAGAAAAAGAAAGAATCTTTATTTCATACTAGGTATTCATATACAAGTGTACCAGGAGTCATTAACCTTAGAAGAGTGATAAAACATACATTTTTGACGAGAATTTTTTATTTTCGAGAATCAATCGAGAAAACGTTTTAGAAGTTAATACATTTTGGATTTCAATTAATATAAAACAAAATGTTGTCTCTCTCTCTCTCTCTCTCTCTCTCTCTCTCTCTCTCTCTTTCTCTTTCTCTCTCTCTCTCATTCTCTCTCTTTCTCTCTTCGGTCATCGTTTAAACAATAATATTAATTTGACTTTGTAACTTTTGTCCTTGCAAACGATATTTGTAGGACAATAAAATTGATGACGATAAAATTAGCGTGGTGTTTTCTCTCTGTTTTATTTACTTAGTTCTTTTTCTTATTTTTTTTTAGTTTATTCAAAGAGAACGGAATTCTTTCTCTTTCTTATGAATTTATTTACGTTATAAACACGACAATCAATATAATGCGTTTTTATTATACTATTATAGATTAATATCACTTGACATCATATTGATTTTCTCTAAACTTTCGCGAAGTATTTTGTATCGCCTGACTTTAATATGTTGTCGATTAACAATAAGTTTGTTCGTCTAAATGTAATTCGATTAACCAAGCACTAAATTGAATTGAACTTGGAAATATATCAAAATCATTATCGACTTCATAGTTTCCTTCCGTTACCGTTATGATATTGAAACTGATCGTTCGAATAAATTGATACTAATTGTAAGCATTAAACGGCATAGTAATTTTTTCTTATCTTACGCTTGTGAATTTGTATCATCGATCATAGGTTTGCATGCGTTTACATATACACGCGTGCTTGCCGTATTCTCGAGGAAATTGTCTTCCTATTTTGCGAACGTTAGCCGTTACCCAAAGTCGATCGCAGCAACACCTGCGTCTCGATAAGCGTTCACTTAAAGGACTAAGTTGTTTGTCGCTCGATTAACGACGTCGGCCAACTAAACTTCGATTTAACGCCACAAATTTGTGCTAAGTATATATGTATGTGTGTATGTATGTATATATGTATGTATGTATGTGTGTACATCGATAGTACTTGTAAATATATACGCAAACCATATTTCTCTTCCGATGTAATCGGTGATTAGCGATCGTTTCTGAAGCATTATTCTGAACATTAGTCTTTAAATGATATATTATATTAGAAAGAGATAAATGAGATAATGTTAGCAGTTAGTAAATACCATCCTAAACGATATCTAATTAAAGTAGTAATGTAATTAAATTTAAAAGTCATTAAGATCTTAAAATAAAATTTATACCGTTCTTATTTCATAACAATATACGCTAACATAAGGCATTTTATCGTGAAACGTGTCAATCCTATTTCAAAATTATTCCAAGAACAGTAATTATTTCATAGATTTGACTTTCATAAACAAATAATACATGCGATAGTACTCATTCATATGGATGTAATAGAAAACTGTTGGTTTGTTTATACGCTTTTCTATACATATACTATAAAAGATACATATATGGAAATATCTAGGCGTTGGTGTAACCCGTTGACCGGAATTCGATGCTTGCTTTAGAAGGTATGACATAGCCACGAATATCCTGCATTCGTGAGGTCATACTCCACGTACCAATTTGTATCAATATATCGTAGATACTTAAAGTTAACGCTATAATATATCGTAGATAAAATTGAACATTGAAATTATCTTACAAACTATGTAACAATTTCTCCTAAAACGATATAATCTTATTATAAAAGAACATAACTTATAAATCGTAAATGAAAATTCAATTAAATATCTACAAGTATTCAGATCCAGATTGAGAAATAAAATAGTACAAAACAAAAAGTATAAATTATTAGTAGAAGAGAATATTTACACAATAAAAGTGCATTTTGCTTGAATGCGCTAAAAATATAAGAAACGGGATTACGTTAAAAGTTTTAGCATGGTATAATACGTATCTATACATATATACACGCAACGAATAGTTTTACACGTGCAGTAGAGCGTCTCTTTTTAGATCCGTTACTCGAAATGAAGTACAAGTGCACGTTTTTCGCTCACCTTGGCCCGTCTGCCAGTAGCGCCTGATAGCGTTGTTATAACCTATATGTCATACAGCGCTCAAAGAAAGAGAGGGAGAGAGAGAGAGAGAGATAGATCTACAAAAGTAGTGGGGACGGACCAAGTTAGGAACATCGAGAGTGAGAGGTCTATACCACTAGTGGGACGCACGCGCCTAGTCATCGTGAGATTAAAACGATCGGCAGACTATTAAGTAAATTACCATAACTCAAATGACACGTGTCTGGTTAATAACCAATCGACTCGCATGCTATCCTAGAGATTAACAATCTGTCCTTTAAATAATTTCACAATTAAATGATAAATCATCAGATTCAAATTTCAGAGAAAAATCGAGGTCTTTAGTTTGGCGCCAATTTTACTCGTATTTGAATCAACTTCGAATTAGATTGTAAAAATCAGATTGATAAAATTAGATTGAAATTAAGAATTTTATACATTATAGTAAGATCGATTCTTTCTCTCGAAAGAAAGAAAATATTGTAAGTGCAAATACATGAGATACTATAAAAAGAAAAAGAGATAAACAAAGCTAAATACGTATGGTAACGTGAAATAAAGCCAATAACGTAGGAACGTTTTTGTGGGTCGAATATAAAAGCTTTCGAGATTCATTGGGAAGTTCAAAAAGAGTTTCTCCATTAAATATACAATTTTGAAGTGCAACGAGATGTCCCGAGGTGCGGGCCAAGGGAAATTACATAAATATTCATAAAGTGCTTGGAAACAAAGTCTGGGAAATAATTTGCCTGTCTTCTTTATTTTATTTTCTTTCTTCGATCGTCATAGGTTAGCGTAATCATTGCTCAAGATTACGAGATTTCCGACATTCAATGCAGTGGCGCCGGTTCAGCAGCTGATCTTCTCACAGCGAAAATCAGAAGACCGATCGGCTTCAGAGGAGCTCCGCTATTTGCCGACGATAGATCAGCCAATCCTCTCATCGACATTCATTGCCAAATTAGACCTGATCCTAACGATTCTCAAGAAGACAATTACTTTCTCAAAGTGACGGATTTTTCACGATGCGGTGTTCTCAAAAGAAACGTAAGTCGACGTGAGAGAAATATAAAAAAAGGAAGAGACGTCAAGAAATATTTGTATTTATTAAGATTAAATAATGTTTCTAGAATAAACAAAATATGTATTTGAAAATTATAAACAGAGACATTAATATATTACATCAGAGTATTTTTGGAAATCATTATAAATATTTAAGAGAATTGAAAATTTAAATTTTATTTAAGAAAAAAAATATTGTATTTGTAATATAGATAAAATAGCGTTATTACAGATATAATAAATTGAGTAATTACAATAAAGGACAAATATTGAAATTAATTATTCGATTAAATATAATTAAATATTCGAGAACATAGTAATAATTACAAATATGGAATAAAAATATGACATTAATGTATACGTGAATATAGTATATGTATCTATTCAGAAAGAATATATATAATTCTCGTAACTTTATTTCTAAAATTTTAGCACTAGAATTTTTAAATAACTCGTAATTCACCTCATTGAAATATATAAAATTGAAGATAATCATAATTAATCCTATCAAAGTACGCCTTTCTCTCTCTCTCTCTCTCTCTCTCTCTCTCTCTCTCTCTCTCTCTCTCTCTCTTTCTTTTTTTAAAGGGATTAACTTATCGTGCTTTGATGCGAAACGTCAACTGAAAAAATTCGTTCGTGTTAATTTAATATCTAACGTCGAACATTATGGTTTTTATTAAAGTTACGCGCAATATTATAATTAAAAATATATAATTATTAAAAAGAATAAATAATTGGTATGCTGATAAGAAATAATATTTCGTTCATAAATTACATATATATGTATAAAATATCGCAAATATAAATGTAATCGTTTGTTATTGTTTTCATAGGGATTTATTCATTTACGGATATGGTTTCCGGCATTTCCTGGTGTCGTAATGCTGGCCGATCAAGAATTGATCCTCATGTGTCGTCCACCTGAGCCCACATTGCTTAGGCACAAAGCGGCTGGTTTTGCTGGTACCTTGTAAGTTAACAACAGGTCAATTTATGACATCCTCTTTTCTATTGTTGAATTATTAATTACGTTCTAACCAGTAATGTCTTCGCTTCCTATATGATTTATATATTGCAATTAAAGACATAAAACGACACCGTTAATTCAAAATCTGTAATAATTAAGATACCAAGATACTGAAAAAAAAAATAAAACAGAAAATGATATGAAATAGAAAATTGAATTTTTGTCGTTAACTACTTAAAGGTAATCGAAACGATTTCATTATCAAACTATTCGATTATGAAATTTGCATTATACTCTGTATATTATAGTATATTATTCTGATAGGTATATAATACATATATTATAGCGAAGAGCATAAAGTTTGTATATAGCGAATGACTTGATCAACTTGGCAATTAAATAGGATTGCGTGATGTCATTAAATTGCGCATTTATAATGAATTTGCAATAATTGTATTGTTTCGATTGCTAACACGTAACACGATAATAAAATATTGAATTTCTCAGTGAAAATTACTCTTGGACATAACGCCTCAATATCTTGTTAATCGTAACTAATCGACGATATGTTATAAAATTACACAATTTTCCGGCGAGAATGATTCGTTAACGATGGGATTACTGTATTAGGGTAATTTACCGAAACATTTTGGTCTAGTAAATATGTGAAATACATCCGCGTTAAGTCGACTACGATTAAGTCGAAAAATAATAAATAAGCAAAATAATTAGATACAATAAAATTTAGTTAGAATAGATTTTCAATGTTTGTTTCAGTCCACATGGTGCTAGAGTATCCGGTGTAGTAGAGGAGACACCAGGTCGCTTAGAATACGAAGTTGCTCTTTATCGTGAAGCTACGGGCAATATATCAGAATCTAGCGGATCCCAAACAGTCGATCAGGCAGTGCCAATAGGTACAAAACTTCAGCTGAGAGCTCGTATCAGTCCTGACAGCGCTTGGGGTTACATAAAACTTCTGGAAGTAACGGTCAGCCCTGATCCCGATCAACCGCATGCCCCAGGGAGCGTCATCCTTGTTAAGGATGGCTGTAGAAATCGAGATTTCGCATCAATCATTCCTCATCAACCGGCAAGGTATCGCGAGAGAAAAAACGAGGTATTTTTGGATTTCGAAGCATTCTTGCTTAGTTCTATGCGAGAACGATCTACCTTATGGATACACTCGCAAATAAAAGCTTGTATGGAACCACAAGATTGTCAACCGGTGAGAACATTTCTTTCTCTTATTTATTTCAAATTCTTTCAATATAGAAGATTGACATTGTTTCTCAAACTCCTCTTATAAAACTGTTTAAACAAACGAAAGTGGTAAAAGGATTATAGATATATGTAGTAAAAGGATTATAGATATGGTAAAGGATTATATATAATTTATGTCCGATATGTATATCGGATATTTATATATCTTTTTCAATATGTATAGCATACACATATTGAAAAAAATGTAAAGAAGATTTTAAAGAGGCATATATAAATAAGTGTTCGATCTGCATGAAGATCGCGTTAAGATAATAATCATGAATGGATGTTTAAATATAATTTATAGGATTTTTGCTTGGATCTTTTCGAACCGTCGGGTCATGGCAAACGAAAAAAACGAGATGTCAACGAGAAAGTCGATGGAGGGTTTTTGCCTAAAGTCGAACGTCTCATTAAGAGTTACAATGACTCAACGCCTTTTACGAAATTCAAGGAGAACATTGAGTATACCGTCATGATGCCAGACGGTATGAAACGTTTGATATTGTATATAAGATTATATACATATCAATATTATATGATATAAAAGAAATTAATAATACATTAACATTTTTCGCGTTACAATCAATGTAATTAATGAACTCATTTATCTGCAGATATTTACAACAAAGTTGCAACCGGCTTGGAAGGTAATTGCGGCGGTTTTCTTTACGTGACTATTGGATTAGGTGCGTTATTAGTTCTATCCGCCTTCATTATGTGTTATTTGGCTTCTCGTCTTCATAATTTATCTTCATCCATCTCGCAAAACAAATTCATTGACGATCTGGTACGAGATAGAGCGAGAAAATATTGTGACGCGACATCAGGATACACTGGACGGTCTACCGTACAATAAAATAAATCAATCTATCTATTTATACTCGATAATGTTTTTGATATAACAGGAAAAAACAAACGTGATGTAGGAATGTTAGAAATCGAATGATGAATACTTAACATTTGACAAGTACTTATATATGTATGCATGCTCGATATGTGTATATTTATCCCATCTAATTTATTTATTCATTTTATAGATTATATTTTTCACATAGTCTCAATGTTTATTATAATATTTTATAAATATTAAATGTTCATCACAGCTAGTTACGATGGATTTTCTTTATCGACGAGATAACAAATTATTATAGCACATTATTGTGTCAATGCGATACAACTGATAATACTTTATAGTACAGTTATATTGATAAACTATCATTCTAATACGTAATACTGAATACCAAGAATCTTAGGAATTTTTAGATATAAGTTAAAATATAAAGAAGGTGTCACAAATTAAAACGAATATAGAAAAATATTTTATAGTACAAGCGCTCTATTTTCTCTTTTCTTTTTGCATATATTCTGAATATTCGAAATATGTCCATGTGCAATGCTATCACGAGACCTGATAAAGCGAACGCAATAGTCGATCGCCCATACTTACATAACAATCATAGTATTTAAGTATTTGCAAAAGTGCATTTCATGATCAAAGTGCATGAAAATATTGGGTTGGTTAAAGGTTAAAATAAAATACTTCACACTTTGTACATAAATCTGCACGATAATGTATTAGTTGAGCTCAATTAATTTAATAGAAAAAAAATCGAAATATAAAAAAACCGACCGTGTAAGAACGTGTAAATTTCTTTGCCATCCAAAAAATCATTGACCGTTTAGATTTAACGAAAAGAATATTGAAATAATTGTACGTGTATAGTCGCATTATATTTATTATAAAATAAAACAAGGTTAATCAAATATCCTTGCATTACATTTCATTTAATGGTAACGACGTTTCTCCCATAAAATTATGTTATACAATATGACGATATCGTTACAATTTTATGAATTACGATTCGACCTCGTATAATATCTCGTAGTAACGAACAATTGTGAAACTTAATTTCTTTTCTTTTTATTTTTCTATATTTCTGATAGATTTGCATTTCTCTATCAGTAAATGATCGTTCCAGTTCAACAATTGTTTCATGCACTATTTTGTGCTAATTGGATCTAGACGATCTTTGCAACGACGAGACATGTATTTTCGGTCTTCTATATTTTTGGTTTGCACAATTTTTCGAACAGACCCATGAAGCATAATATATTGAACCAACATTTATTAATATAGACTTAAAACTTTATATTAAGTAGGAAATCAATACAATAATGTATCATTACACATAGTATTTGATATCCATATTTTATGAAAAAAAAACAATGTTCGAAGGCACACATGTCGTGCAACAATTCTAATTGAAAGTTATTATTCGCTGCTTTAAAATAAAGTATTAAACGTTTTGTTGTTTTCATAATAAATATAATTATCACAGGAAGTCTGTGATATATACTATCTTTCTTTTTTTACATATTTTACGAGATAAGTATATTTTCTTTACAATAAAAATTTCAATTTTAAATTAACAGTTAAACCGTTGATTAATATCAACTTAAGCTATATTGTGTATATATATAATGAAAAATATAAATATAATTATAAATATTAAATAAAATTATGTAAAAATGTAAATTGAGAATGTGCATATGCTATTATATGTATATGTATCTCAGAAAAATTATAAGCGTATTGCACCCACCCTAAAGATGCTATTTTTCCTATTTGGTTTATCGATGTATAAAGACACATTTAGCGATCCTATAACTTCATTATGATTCGTAATATTAATAATTGCCACACTTATTTTACAACCTTTGGCTCAATATCATTGTTACGTCTTTGTATAGGCCCATAAAGCTTAACTTGATAATATTATAGTCTAATTTTATTTAAATTAATTGTTTTTAATTAAACTACAAAAAAAATAAAAATAAAAAATGTTTTAAATTAGAATAGTTGTTTCACACAAAAGTAAAACAACTGGACTACAAGAATAATTTAAACAAATTACATTATGAACAATATATATATATATAAAATTCATTTTTTAAATATAATGTTAATATAAACTTTTATTTCAATGTGTATTAAATAAAGAAAAAAAATTAGAGACAATCTCATTTAACAGCATAGTTATGTTTTCCAGCAAATATGCATTCATTTTCCAGCAAATGTGTATTCATAAAATATAATCTAGTAATTTAGTAGTCACAAGTGAATTTGCATGTATTTTACTACGTATTTTTAATAAAGTTACTGTGCAATCAATAATAAAATTACTCATCTCAGTAAAATCATAATTTATATAAATTAATAAAACATTTAATTTACTAGTAAGACACTGTGCTTATATATAGCAACTGTATACGATATTAAATGTTATATGTTCTTTTCATTAAATTATATATAATGAATAGATACTTTATAATTAACAGAAAATTAATAACATATCGTCACTCTATTTTGACAAATTTTCGATACGTTCCAAAGAAAATTTAATTTCTTCATATATAGTCTTTCAAAATCAGAAAATTACACTTCTATTTTCTATCTATTTTAAATTGAATAAATTAATATAATCCGAGGCTGTATATATTTACAAATTAATTCTATAAAATTGATTATCACACATAGTAATTATGCAAAAATTTATTATGTAGTCCTTCCATTTGTTTTAGATTTCACAAAGGCTTCGTAAGCTGCAAGCTCTTTTTTTTCCTTCTTTAAGTTTCTATCCTCAAATTCCAACCTGTAATTAAACACTTAATCAACGCGTATACAATTTCCTTTAAGTGTTGGGATATGCAAGTAATAGTAGTAAACCAAATTCAATAATCTGTTAAAATCCTTTGACATAAGAAATTAGTGTATACAATTTTACAAACAAATTACGTATATTATAAAAATGCTAATTGTATGTGTGTGTGTGTATATTTGTGTTATTTAAATAAATGTGTACATATTATTCAGATCAATATTTTGTTTTAAATTTGTACGTATTATTATTTGTATTATATTTAAATATTATGTTTAATATTTTAAGAAACTTTATCAGATTAATGAACTTTACATAATATTATTCTACACAAAGAAATGTGCTGTAAATGAACAAGTGTATATATATGCTTGCATGAAATTGCATATCCCAATATAAAAAGCATGAATATATGAATGAGATTGGAGTATGTATATTTAAAATTATAAAACATTGATAAATAAGCATGAATATATGAATGAGATTGGAGTATGTATATTTAAAATTATAAAACATTGATAAATAATTTTAAAATGTATATAGTATTTGTTTGTTTTAAAAGTATATGCTTCATATTATGCACACGAATATATCTTGCAAAAAAGTATTAAACGAGGCAAAAGTTATGACATGAAAAGTATAGACAAGTCATATGACAATTAACTACCATTATTTGCAATTTCTTCTTAGCTTACCAATTATTTATAATTGCTATATTTTTTTTTTCTTATAGTTCAATATAACTAGAAATTAAAATCGAAACCTTATCATTATATAAAATTCACATTTTTTAAATGTCTGTTATATAATATAGAACTGATATTGAATAATGTTTGCTAGAATATTCTTAAATACATATCTAACATATATAAGTTATAATAAAAAGAATAACATACCTATGTAGAATTATTCTTTCAACTATTTTTTCTGTTGTCATATCATTGCCACTATCCAGTAATTTAAATTTATTTTGTCTTTTTGGTTCTACATATGGATCCGAGCCATCTTCACATGGCATTATTGATGTCTGTCCATGACACACGATAGAAACATTAAAGTGTTCCATAAGATCTTTAGTAACCTCATATGGAGCACCAATTACAACTTCATTCACATACTAGATATGTAAAAAATTCAATTCCTTCATTTTTATGTATAAAAAGATTTATATGATTTAAAAAGAAAATTTCACATTTTTTTAACGAATCTTAGTAATGATATTTTTCTAACTGTTCAAGAAGATAAATATAAATTTATATAGAAAATATTTCTGGAAAATTGTGCTTAATTTTATCTTTTTTCAAGTGATTAAATTAATACATTTCCGATCTGAATGATCTTATGAAAACATAATTTTTATTCTATGTAAATAGCTCACCTTACATGCTAGTACACTAAGAACACGTTCATGAAGATTCATGATTGGATGATTACCACATTTGTAACGATTAACAGCTGGATCTGTATGGAGGCCAACAATAAGATAGTCACCCTCTTTCTTTGCAACTTCTAAGAAATCTAAATGTCCAACATGGAATAAATCAAATGCTCCAGCAACATAAACAATTTTATCATCCGGCTGAGGACTTTTGCCATCGCTAAATTGTATAATTTTTTGAGTAGTGGGAAGAAACTGAGAACAACCGGTCCATGGGCTTCGCGCTGTGCGATCTTGACCCATACTTTTGCTAGGTTCTCTATCAACGGTATATTCACTATCTCCTTGTTTGAAATGTTGACGTGTCATTAAAAGCATACGCCCTACAAGATCTGTAGTTGAAACTCCTGCTGTTCTTTGAACTTCTCTGTAATAATTATATTATTTAGTAAAACAAATAATTTTCTGTATTTATGTAAAATATTTCTCTTCAGTTCATTTTGTTATACCTGTAACGACCAGCTGCTTTAACTAAATGATAAGTATCTATTCCATCTGCAGTCATTGTTATATCATCACCATGTACACAGAAATCACAATTGTATTTATCTAATGTTTCCAATGTAGTAACATAAGGAGCACCTTCAACTACTTCATCTACCCATTTTATACCACGAACCATTTTGTATCTGAAACAAAACAGGAAGAAATATTGTTTAAATCCTGTTTATATTATATATAGAATCACAATAGTATTATAATATATATATTTATTGATAATACTTTATATTATTTAAATAATTTAATAAATAGAAAAAGTACCTCTCTTGTTCTGTAAAAACTGGAGGACCCTTATGCTTTGTAATTTCTGCATCTGTATGAACACCAACCACCAAATAATTTCCTAATGCTTTAGCCTGCCTTAATGAATTTGCATGTCCAAAATGCACCATATCATAACTACAATATAAAATGATATATTTGAATCATCATAGGATTCAAAAAAGTAAAAGATCAAAGTGAAATATACGAAAATCCGACGGTAAGAACATAGCACCGGAATAAACGGAATTATTTGAACTTTTACATTTACAAGGACTGTGAATATTACTCCAACACATATACATACATTTTGTTCGAATGATTAATTAATCAAGCTATAGTATTGATCGCTAGTCTTTCTTACAATCACAGAGACACTGCGTCTCTTATCTTTCGACATATTTTATAGAGCACGTATCGAATAATGATATGCACGAAAATTGATCCTTTTTTGACACGAGCAATAAGAAGAAACGAACAATGTAAGTTTTATAAGGCACAAGTGAAACGTATATTTTCACAGTATCAGCTTATCCTTTTTTTTCTCATGTCACCTGTCAAGTTCGCGCGCTAAACACGTGAAAATCGAAAGGTAAATGATACCGCACAATACATTTCATTCATAAACTCACCACCCGTCGCACCAAACACGAACTTCTTTTCGAGATTCTGTCATATTCACCAAAAGAAAAAGTACAAACACGTGTACACCAGTAGACGTTCCTTTTTTTATCTTTATTTTTCTCCAATCACTTGATTAGAATATTACAAATAAGATCGAATAAAATACATACGTCAACTAATTCTAGAAGCGTACTACTCGCGACACCGGCATTGCATATCTTTTTATTAATCGAATACCGCTCGTCCCTCCCCACCTTTCCACCCTTCGCTCGTTCATAGCACGCAGAATGACGCCATCGCGTCATAATTTAACTTACTCATGAGTATAAGACATAATGGTGATACTAGAATCATTGTTTTAAATGAAGGAAAGAATATTCTCATTTTTTTTCAGTAATTTTTTTTAGCAATTATTCCAAGAAAATAACAATCATGAATTTGTAATTTTGAATACTTACGCTTATTAAACGAGTTGTTGCAATACTCGTCAAATAATATTGATTGTTTTGTTATCCAATGACCAAAATCAATGATTTTAAAAAATAGCATTATTTAAAATCTTCGTACGTAGTTGTACAATGAAGAATAGATGATGAACATTTAATCATCGGGCATAAAATTTATATTTCCTTTTTTCTTCTTTTGTTACAATAAAGTAGAATATTGATTAAATATGTAAAATTAATGTAATTTTCATCAATTTGATAGATTTAGATTTTAAAAATAGATAAAAGCTTTTTACAAAAATGTAACTTAAAAGTTACGCATATATTGTGGAATAAATATTATATATATTGATGTTCTTAATAAATGCTTCTCTCTAAATGGAAGTAATTTTCAAGGTTACTTGATAAAGTCGAATGAAATAATCTTTTGTACAGTTATGTTCTCAGTATATCAAATTAATCGACAAAAAAAATACCTATCTTATTTCCACTTATATCTAATTGATAAATTCCTAGTTTAACGCTTATTTAATGCTTAGAAACTGTATAACAGTTACTTATAGACTTTTTATGTACCGAATTATATTTATAAAAATCGTTAAAAAAATTATAATAAAAAATTATAGGAAATAATTTCTCAGTGGATGGGATATTAAACAACGCCAAAAAAAATACTTAAAAAATATTTTTATATTAAATTTATTATAGTCTATTATAATATAATCATAGATTATATTAATTTATAATAATCGAACAACATCATAAAATATGTCTATGAAGTATCCTGTAAATTTCAAAAACATTGTTGGTACGTAGAAAGTTAAAATAAAAGTACCAGTTATAACATCTTCACCGATTTATATCAATGCGATAAAACGTAAGAGTATTATCCATATAATGAAGTAAACTCTGACCTAATCGCATGATGTTTGATAAACGGCCCAACCAATGAATGATCAGAAAATTTTATTTCACAGATCTATCAAACGGTGACTGTACTTATTATTTAATGATAAATTCTTATCATTAAATCATAAGGAAGATAATAACAGAAAATGGTAAGATAACGTACGTGTTCCTTACCAATAAAGGCTGATAATTTTAGAAATTATCGCTTTATAACTTATTGCCACACGACCATTTAGTTACTTTCACATTATGCCATTGTCGTTAACGATTTTAGTAAACATACTATCATTTTACTTTTACATTTATGCAATACTTAAATAAAAAATTAGAAGTATTTTATATAACTATTATAATTAGTATTACTTAATATAAAAATTACCAATATGTAAACAATTTTCTAAGACTACATTGCATGTAATTTAAGATTAGTATTTTCAATTTCCATAAAATACTGCACATTGTGTACGGGTTTTCAAAACAAAATATGACTGTGTCTGTACATACTATATACTATATTTGTGTCCCATCACAATGAGAAGCGCGTATGGAAAATATTATCTGCTATATTAGACAGAGTAGTTCTCTTTTTGTTCTTTTTGCTTATTATATTACATAAATAAAATTTTATTCTGGAATAAACTATGTCGATGTTAATAACCATTCTGTTGTCTGTAACTGCTCCCACCACCACTTCCTCCATATGTACCACCATTTTGACTATAACTAGAGCCACCACCACTGGAAGCTCCTCCAAAGTTATTCTGAGGAAATGATTTATTGCCATAACCTCCTCCCATACCACCTGGACAAAAAACGAATATTTAACTAATAAATAAATAAATTTGGAATCTACACGATATATTCTTGTCTTATAAAATTATATACTGAAAAACAAAATGTAATATTATTTGTAAGAAACACGAACTTTAAATTATCTTGATCAAATATAATTTTCTTAATTAGCATAATAAAGTGAACATGTGTAGCAATTATATTTTAAAGTACTTACTACTACTACTTCCACCCCATTTATTTCCACGATCGTTTCCAGCACTGCCACTGCCGCTACCACTACCACCGCTACGATCAAATCTCCCATTCCTGTCACTTCCATCACGACCACCACGTGATCCTCGTGAACCACCTCCACGACTACTGGATCCACGACTACCACTTCCGCCATTACGACCACTGTATCGACCTCCTAAACAGAAATATAAAATTGATTTAATGAAATTATATGAATCATAATGATATATATAAAATAACTTTATAATTACGTTTATAAATGCTTGGATTTCTTGAAAGTTCATAAAGTTTAGGATTTACAACTTGCTTTGCTTCTTCTAGCACTTGAATAAGATCACTAGCTTTGTGTGCATTTCCAGGTGTAAAGAAAGCATATGCAGTTCCTGTTCGTTGCGATCGTCCGGTACGTCCAATACGATGAACATAGTCTTCCGAGTTGGACGGATAATCCAAGTTTATCACAAATTTGACATCTTCCACATCTATACAACAGTTCTCATAATTATTAGGGAAAGTAAAAAATACTTGATTCTTTGTGGTGGGTAATTAACTTACAAAGCGAACTAATTAAAGCTGCAATAAGTTTCCTTACAAATAGAATTAAAATTTAAGCTCGTCATAATCAGAGTAGAAAAATTTTCAATAAAAATTGCAATAGACAAATTTAATGATTACGAATAATACCAAACACAATATTAATTGCTTTAAAATCAGACACGAAAGAATAAATATCAATAGATAATAAATTCCATTTGCAAGGTACGTTAGTAACATAAATAAGTTGACCACAAAGAGCAAGTGTACATATTATTTACCTGTTTGAGCCTAAAGCTGGAAATGTAAATACATTTTTGGAAATGTAGAGGAATCAGAGCTCAGATGGTTCTCATAGAATTCTCGCTTAATGAGTGAGCGAGCTCTACATTTATTCTTAGTAACTTCACACCCTTCTCTCCCGCACCAAAGTATGGATCTGTGCTGGTCTTTGAAAATTTGGTCCTTGTGCATTGCTTCAGTAAGGTTTTGAACATTGGATGAGCACCATATGCGCATTCCACTCAACCCCATGTATACTCCATTGCGTGCTTAGCATCAAGGATTTCTTTTTGTTATTCGCTGAAGTTTTATAAAACTATTACCAACTGCACGAAAGATCGTAATTTATCGATTTACCGACGACTTTCTTCGATATAACGAATCATCTCTCCAACCTGTTTAATAATAAAACCTAACACTGCTTCAAACTCGTAAGTATTTTAAGCAGTCTTGCGATACAATCGAAATATACCTCATAGAAAAGAAAATTTGTAAATTATGATTTTAGAATTGATATGAATGCATTAATTCTGCAAATATTAAAACGTAAATCGATACTATATCCTATTACTCTAATCTATATCTATCCGGTTTAATTGCCCTATATATATTACAGATTCCCTAACGTTATTACTTCCATACTTTGGACCATCGCAGGTACAGAGTGAGAGTGTGTTTTTTCAAGTGGCACGGCTGAGGCACAGCGTTAGTTTAGCTTGTTGCGAGGGGGCGAAGACCAGCAGTCACGCCCCGTTCAATTATATATTCCAAAGCAAACTCTCCAGAGTTCTTATCATTGATAAAACTCCGTCGCATGTGCCTCTGAAAACACATAGAACAGCACGTTAATACCAGACTGACAAGACTTGTCTCAATCAGAGCAAAATCGAAAAACAAACGTTTCTATCTTCTTACCTGCTCATTTTCGACCTTGCCTGAAATATCTTGGCATACTTTTCACTTTGATAAACTTTTAAAGTTCTATATATATTGCTTGTATGTACGTGTTCTGAGATTATTTTATACGATGTCATAAATTTCACTCAAGTCACTTTGATTTAGAATGTAAGATTTTATCAAAATTGAAAATGTATGTCAAAATCCACCTAAACTAATGATGAAACTAATGAAGAAACAAGTTAAAAATTATTCCTCCTTCAGACTTATTTCTAAATGGATCATATTGGTAGTAACATTTATTTGTACTTATAGAGATTTTTAAATTACTGAATCTTCTAAATGGGTGAAAAAAATTAAATATAAAAATGGCAAAATAAATATAAATTCTAAATCATTAAATACCCTGCTCCATGATATTCCTAAACAATCTTAAAGTTATCTTCATCCACGCTGCTTAGGGACTAATGTCAATCAGTCTGGCACATGCCGTTATCCGTTGCCACATCACAATATTAAGACTCTCACAACCGTGAAACAACCATCGCAGCCTGACCCTTACATCATACCCACACTTGCTAAAACAGAATCTTACCTAAACCTCTTGCTGCAACGTCCGTAGCAACTAGTATTGCTGATCTGCTATTCCGGAATTCTGAAAAAAATCATTTCTCAGTAAAAGATAATAAAATGATATGTACTAATGATAAATTTAAATATAACTTAATTTTATTTAAAAATGTGTGTTATCAATATATCTTACGATTTAATACATAATCTCTTTCTTGTTGACTTTTATCTCCATGGATGCCAATTGCTTGCCATCCATATCTATTAATAGCTCGTGTAATATCATCAACTTTTCTTTTTGTTTCAACAAAAATAATAGTTTTATTTTCTGGTTCATTAGAAATCTCTTCCAAAAGTTTCATTAATTTACTTTCCTTTTCATATTCTTCGCATACATCCACTATTTGAAGGATATTATGATTAGCTGCTAATTGTAAAGAGCCAATATTGATTTGTATATAGTCAGTTAAAAACTCTTCTGCCAAGTTACGAACTTCCTTTGGCCATGTTGCTGACCACATAAGTGTTTGCCTATCTGGACGTATTTGTTCTACAATTTTTCTAATTTGAGGTTCAAAACCCATATCAAGCATTCTATCTGCTTCATCAAGTACCAAATATGTACATCTACGAAGATTTGTTGTACCACGTTCCAAAAAATCTATTAGACGACCAGGAGTTGCTATACAAATTTCTACTCCCCTTTCCAGATCTCGTGCCTGTGGACCTTTAGGAGCTCCACCAAAAATGCAAGTATTTCTAACCTGTGAAGAAACTCCAAAGTCTGATGCTACTTGTTGTATTTGTTGCGCAAGTTCTCTTGTAGGTGCCAAAATAAGAGCTATAGGACCATCATTTCTACTTAATCTAGGTTGATGATTAATATGCACTATAGCTGGTAAAATATAAGCTAATGTTTTTCCAGATCCTGTTTGCGCTATGCCGACCATATCACGTCCAGACAAAGCAATAGGCCAACCTTGTGCTTGTATAGCTGTTGGTTCTCCAAAACCTTGTCTTCGAATTTCACTTAAAACATAATCTGGAAAACCACCCTCTTCAAAATAAATATTGGGCCCAGGGACATTAGAGCCTTTTACTGTGATCTCTTTATCTGAACGGTAAGCTTCAACTGTATGAAGACTTCTTGTTGTAACATTAGGATGTGGTTGATAAAAGTCTTTTCTAAATGGTTGCAAAGTGCTCATATCCCATCTAGGTTTTCGTAATCGTTCTCCAGGCTGACGATTTTTAAAATTATTACTCCCAAAATTGTTATCTCTGTTTGCACTACTTCCAAATCTTCCACCACTGCCTCCATCTCGTCCACCAAAACGGCCTCCTCGAGAACCACCTCCACCTCTCCTATCACCACGTTCACGATCACGGTATGCCCTATAATATCATCATAAAATTAAATAATGAAACCAAAATATGAATTAAAAAAAAAACACCATTATGAGTAAAGGAGAATAATGCTAATTAAGTATTTAATGTGTATAAAGTATTAAATAGAACACTAATCATACAAAAAATTAACAAATAATAGAGTTATAATGAAATATTGATTTATACAATAACAATGATAAATGTATGGAAAATTAATAAATACACTTAAGCATAACAATTTTAATATTATTTTTATGTTATACAAATGAAAATATTTTTGTGTTTTGGAATAAATACATTATAAGAAATATATATGCACATATATAAATTAAAATGTAAATAATATGAATAGTCATTGTTTGTTAGAACCAAGTAACGTTCATATTTAAAAGCTCTTCGATCTGTTTAACGACAATAAGACAACAAAAGATGTTGTTACATATTATAAATTACTTAACTAAACATATATATGTGTAAATCTTTTATTTTTGTAATAATATATTTGATATAAAATTTATAAAAGCATTTCTATCAAAATAAATTAATATAATAATGGCGTTATAATTTATAAAGAGAATAAATCAACTATGACGTACAGTCAACATGGAGAATAGTCAAAACGTAGAATGGTTAGTTAATGTCAATGGAAATTTTTACATTTTTAAAGAATTTTCAAGAATTCATTTTATAATATAATGTAACTTACATCGTCATGAAGAATTTTATTGGTTTTTAAATAAATATTCCAAAAATTTCTTGAAAAAATCAATGTACTCGCTAAAAGAACACTACTTAACGTCCGATTCCAAGGGAACTCACGAATGATCATCATGGTGACGTAGATACGGACAAGAAATAGTCCCTATTTTATTTAACACATTATGCAAAGTAAAAATAAATATATATTTTAAATGATTTTTATATTTATTATAATCCATGAATTTTTATTTTATTCGTTCATAAATATATTTTATTCAAATTTTTAAATATGATTGAATAATATACAAATATAATATACCGGAAGTCACCAACGGTAGTACAGGAAGGAATATGTAACTGTCAAATAATATGATTTGTTATTTTAACTTTCCGCGCAAAAAATGTATTTTCGCTATTTTTCAAATTTAAGTTTTTATATAAATGATTCTTTTTATATTCTGGAGTAAAATAAATTAAATTTTCTATATACTTATTATAACAATAAATAATTTATATTACAATTTGTTTACAATTACGCAACATACAACAAAAATAATTAATATAAAAATTAACTTTTAAATTATGGAATAAAAACATTAATTTTTCTGTAATCAAATATAAAAAATAAAATTAATCATATTTAATACAAAATGAAAATAAATTCTATTAATTTTATCTTCATAATTATTATAAATAAAAAACGTGTAAATAAATACTCAATAATTTATTAAGAAAAAAACTAAAACTATATTATCACAGTTACAATGATATTAACACATTGTATTGTATTAAACAACAAATTTTGAATAAAGTTATGTTATCATGATATGACTTTTCAATAATAACAAAAATGTGTCTTTTATATTTAGAAGTTAAAAATATTAAATTGTCTATTAATTTTTATTATTTATCGCATAAATATATGTGTATAATATCCATGTTACATATAATATCCATAATTATCTGTCAGCATAGCTAACAAAATGATCTTTTTATAAGCAAGTCTTTGTCATAAATGAATTAATTTATACATTTTATAAACTTAAACAACTAAACTTCAATTTCAATAGCAACAAAATAATAATCTTTCAGTATACAATATTTTTTCATCTAGAATTTTTCTAAATTTATCATACTATACTTAAAAATAAACTATTAACAGAATAAACATTAGGCATTTACATTTTCGTAAAGGATTTAAAAGTAGGTTATTTCTAATATACCTACTGAAATAGTACTTACACCATTTCCTTCACAAAATGTAAACTCACTTAAGTTTTTTAACTTATAACATATTCGGTAATCCGTCTTATAATACCAATTATATCTTTTTCCCTGTTTTTTTTTTTTTATATTTTTGATATACGGTATTATTAGTAATTAAAAAGTCACACAATATAATAAAATATTTGACTTAGAAACATACTATTAATTCTAGATAAATGTTTTACACATATCACATTTATCAATACTTTGCTTTCATGGGATCTATTTTATCTTGCAGCAAAGTACATTGTTTTTTACATAAATCGAACCACATGTGCTATAGAAATATACTTTACACTTTTAATAGCATGCTATCATTAATAAGTTTAAATTGGAATTAATACGCAGCACCTCTATATTGATAATTATTCCCATAATTATCATTACCTCCGTAAACTTGAGACATATTTTGACTATAACTTCTCTGTGTAGTATACCCATAACCAGTATTTGGACTAATTGAATTATTTTGTTTTAAGTTACTATAACTAGTATAATCTGATCCTGAGTAACCACTTGATCCAGATTGGTAAGAATTGTTAGAACGAATACTTCCTCGTCCTCTGAGAGTACCACTACCACGTCCTCCTCTACAATCAATATTTCCACGTCTTCCACCACTTCTGTCTAAACTTCCGGATGAACTACAGAAACGTTTAGCACCTAAAATTTGAATATACATATACTAATGTTATTCTAAATCAGTATTTGTATGTAATTAACTTTGAAATAAATAATACAACAAGACATATATATATAAAAACACACTTCTGTTTCCAAAATTTCCTGATTTGGCCATTTCTGCCATTTCACTCAATCTTGGATTAATATTTTGTCCAGCTTCTCGTAGCACTTCTATTAGGTCTCCTGCATGTTTCATATTATGACTGGTGAAAAATGCATAAGCTGTTCCTGTTTGTCGTCTACGACCAGTACGACCAATTCTATGTATATAATCTTCTGATGATGATGGGTAGTCAAAATTTATTACATATTTGACATCATCCACATCTGTGAAGCAGGATTAATTAAAAGTAATAAAGCTGATGATATTTATAATGAATAAATAGATATCTTCATATGTATAGTTATAATTACAATATAAGTATTATTTCTGTTCTCGTTTGTTATTATTAAGAAAGTATAATAAAATAATAAGTTATCAAAGTAAAAAAATACACAATGATTACATTTATTACTTTACCTGTTCTTAATTGTACAATTAATTTTTAAGACATTTTATCACATGTCAGTAGTAGTGATTTTGTAAGACTTCTTTATTTGAACTGATCATCTTATAATATATCTTTTTAATTAAAATTAATTCAGACATTAAATTATTATATAATTTTACTTATTAAATATTTAATAATATTTATATGTAATAATTAGTATTATGTTAGAAATAAACTACATTTTCATAAAGTAATATGCAAAAGCTTTTAAATAATCAGTCAATAAAAGAAGTTTGAGAATCACCCACCTTTTGTCAGGTATTTCCGACGTAAAATCAGCAAGCGTAGTGCTGCTTGCTTTTTAAGTAGACCAATTTTTGTTGTTTCATTATGGAAATATATCGTTGGCCTAGAGATTAGACAGACACAGCGGTGGTGTCTGGTTTTGGGATAGAGGCAGCATTTTACGGTTTAAGCCTGAGTGCATTGAATTTATAACTTTTACATTTTAAATAAGAGGCACTAAGTACAAAGTTTCGAAAATGTACTTGAGAATAAGTTATGAAAATTATAATAATCAAAGATAGAATATATTATGTCTGTTTCTTCAAAAAAAGATTAATTACAATTCCTTTATAAGAAAATGTAATTTTCATATTGATTTATATAATATAAGATACTATTATGTTGTAGAATATATAATACTGTCATAAGATATTGTTATTATGTAACATGTAAACTATACCGTGAAGTACTAATCATGGTAAATTATAATATTTTTAGCACAAGAGTTAATAAGTATATTCTAACATAATAAAAGTAAAAAAGAAATTTAGATAATCACTGTGTCTGCCCAATACTGGCAGTACACCACATTGTGTTAGGGAACTCTGTGCCTCTGAAAAAGAAAAGCAGACAGACTTAGTGGTAGCTTGTGTGCATTTCAGAGCCCCACATTTAAAAGAAATTCATTCTTTACTTTTATTAATATAGTACAATGTAGTAAAAAATAATGTTGATATTTTTTGTATCTTTATTTTTTGTACTTAATTTAATGAACGATCTAATTAAAAAATATATAATTTTTAAATATATAAGGCTCCAAAATGTAGCTTAGAACAATAATCATAATGGTTCCAATGCATCACACATTGCTACACTCACAGCTGTCGGCCGGCCTTACTGCAATAACGCATCACTGGCTAATCCAATAAGTGTTGCCTATTCCCAGATGTATGCTACTTTACTATACCTACAAATGGATGATAAATTAAACTGTACACACCTAAACCTCTTGCAGCTACGTCTGTTGCAACCAAGATCGGTGCTCGTCCACTACGAAATTCCTGCAACACATGATCTCTTTCCTGTTGATTTTTATCACCATGAATGCTTAAAGCTTGCCATCCATCTCTTCTAATATTTCTTGTAATATCATCAACTTTTCGCTTTGTTTCTACGAATATTATAGTTTTATTTTCTTTTTCAGTTCCAATTTCTTGAAGTAGCCTATATAATTTAATATCTTTCTCAAATTCTTGACAAACATCTACAATTTGTACAATGTTATGATTGGCTGATAAAGTCAATGATCCAATATTAAGGTGGGTATAATCAGTTAGAAAATCTTCAGCTAAAGCTCGAACTTCTTTTGGCCATGTTGCAGACCACATCAATACCTGCCTGTCAGGTCGTATTTGTTCAATAATTTTACGAATTTGAGGTTCAAATCCCATGTCTAACATTCTATCAGCTTCATCAAGCACTAAATAAGTGCATCTGTTAAAATATCGTCAGAGGAAATGATGCATTTGTTTCTTTTAAAAAATAATTTGAAAAACAGAAATTCATTCGGTGTTTACCTGCGTAAATTTGTAGTTTCTCTCTCCAAAAAGTCAATAAGTCTACCTGGGGTAGCAATGCATATCTCAACACCTCTTTCTAAGTCATGAGCTTGTGGTCCTTTAGGTGCACCACCAAAAATACATGTGTTTCTTACAGCTGCCGATTCACCGAAACAATTAGCAACTTCTTGAATTTGTTGTGCAAGTTCTCTCGTTGGAGCCAATATCAATGCAATTGGACCATCACCTTTACTTAACCGTGGCTGATGTATAATATGCACAATTGCAGGTAAAATATACTATGAATAAAATAACACGTATATATAGTTTCCATAATAACATGACATTTCTTTCTGAGTGTTCGTAGGTAATTTAAGCATACTTTAATATTTCACATCTGTAATGAATTAAGACTCTTTATTTAGCTTACTCCAAGTGTTTTTCCAGAACCAGTTTGTGCAATTGCAACAAGATCTCTACCACTAAGCGCTATTGGCCATCCTTGTGCTTGAATTGCTGTAGGTTGTGAATAACCTTGTCTACGGATTCCTTCCATTACATAAGGTGGAAAATTACCTTCTTCAAAATACTGAATAGGATTAGGAACATTAACTCCTTTTACAGTTATTTCAGCATTTTCACGAAATTGTGCAACTTCTTCCTTTGATCTATTATCATGCATATTTTAATATGAGAAATTTATCAAAGGAATAATCTAGTCGTATAATAGAACATACCTGTTTCTAACAGCAGGATGTTCAATATAAAAATCCTTTCGTAATGGTTCTAAAGAGCGAGCATCCCAATTTACTTTCCTTAAACTTCCTCCAGGTTGTTTTCCCTTTAGTCCACCCCGTCCAGTACTAACACTACTTCCTCTTCCTCGTCCATTAAATCGACTATTAACATTTCCTCGACCATTATCACTACTTCCTCTATTACTTCCTCTACCACCACCTCCTCTGCGACTTCTGCCTTGATCTCTATCTCTGTTATACCTACATTATATATGAATACAAAATGAAATAAGAATAAAGTCTCATTAACATTAAAATTTTTTTTAACAATTTTAAATATATTATAAATATAAATCCTATAGATGAGATAAGAGATCAGAATGATAAATAAAAGATTATGATGGGATATCATGGTTATAATAATACTTTATATTTATACTAGTGCAACACAATATAATTATGTTCTCCCAATTTTGTTAGAACTCTACAACTCTACACTGCTCTTTCAGCACTGACTACTCTTAATAACTGTAAGAATATCTTCATTCTAAGAGACTGGACCAAAAATAAGAAAATTCTGTTCTTTATAGAAGATTTTAAATGAAAAGTCCTTTCGGTTGATTGAATCTGTGCATTTGATAATTTATCGGTTCTAGATCTAGAATAATATTTATTTTCTTACGACCTAACAATAATTTCAACAATATTGCTTTGGGCAGAAATCCTATATAAAAACTAGTGCATGTTTTGTACTGTCACTAGCATTAGAAACAAAAGAATATTCCAATATTTATTTCAAGCCATACACAGTCTCTTTTCTCAGAATGATATGCCTTAGTTTTCCACATTCTATAATTTTATATATTTACTAAATAATTTATGAAGGAGCATTTATAAACACTGGTAAAAATATTTCTTGAAAATACTATTAAAAGAAAATCTGTAATTAAATGATTAAATTAATTATGTCATTATATCCTATTTTAAATTGAATGCATAAATCACATAGGTTTACTAAATACTAACTATACGATATATAAAATCGGCATTTCAATTATTGATTACTGATGGCTGCATTACGGTTCTGCGACAGATTCTAGATATAACGAAAAATAACGCAAGTCAAATATAATTCGAATATTTCATGTAAAACTGATTAAAGCTATTTTTCAAGGAATCATTTTTTTAACAAAAAACCGAATTGACATACTGTACTTACATATAGAAATCCAAAAATTTCTACCGCGGCAAGCAACAGATTAATTCACCTTTGGAGAAAGTCCCGTACAAAACGAATCGATAAATTGCTACCAGCGAATAAAGGTGAATATCAACGATTTTATGAACCTCACCAAGTTTTAATCGTTAAAATGGACTTTAAAGAAAATGTTTCGATAGTTTATAAAATCGTGAAGATTGATAAACGAAAATGAGATTATTTTTGTGTTAGCCGGTGAATTACTCAGATCAAATTGACAAGTGAACTTCCGAAAGTAGTTCCGTGTAAACTGTTACCATGACATCGCGGCGGAGTAATACACTGATTCACATTCGTGAGTCTTCTTGAAATCCATATTTCCCAATGTTTGTCAGAGATAAAAGATGGCGCTCAAGCATAGAAAGTGTTTGTTGACTGATTTTGAATCATATCAATTAATAAAATTATTTTTAATTGTTTTCAATTGTTTATTTCAAATTTAATGTAAAGATTTTATATGATATTTTTGTCATTCGTTGTAAATTAAAAATCTTATATTCATAGCTTAATTTTTATAATTTCTTATTGAACAATTCAAAATTGCCGCTTATTAAATCGTTCATTGATGCCGCTATATTCTTACGTATTAATGCTGCTATATTCACATTAATCTATGCTGTGAAGCTAGGCACATAAATTAATACATATTTGGTCTATGTATGCGGCGTAGATAACTTTGCAGAGTATACAACTTTTATGAACATTAGAGATGTATTCTTCATATTTTTGAAGTCATAATGTCATCTGAAACAAATCATGTTAGTGATTTCAGTTTTTTAGAAATAATTATGATAATATATAATTAAATCTAACCATATCTCTTGTATCTAACCTATCGTAAAAAATGTAATAAATATACCATAGATGAATTTTTCATTCGTATTTTTAGATATTTGATACTCTCAAAGTACTTCATTTACCATCTTATCTTTCTGATCAGCGACGAAATGAATTATTTCAAAAATATGGTGCTATAAAAACACGTACGTTACGGCCTTCTAGTAAATATACTATAACTTTTGTAAAGTTTCCATCACATAGTGCAGCAAATGAAGCACTTTTACGTTTACATCAAATAAAAGTCAGAGGACAGTACTTATCAGTAGAATTTGCTAAAAAATCTATGCCAATACAATTTTCTGAAAATGAAATTCATTATGGAGATATTATGAAGGATGAAATACATAAAGAAACAGTTAATAAATCTCATTTTCAAGCTTTTTTAAAACGGTTGTATGGAGGATCAATGAATCAAATTTTTACACAGCCACCTCCACCAAATATAAAATATAAATATGCACCACCAACAAAAAACACTTTGTTAAGAATAATTATACAATTATTGAAAGAACCAGCTTTTTATACTCAGGTATCGTAATTCATTTAAAATCTTTATTTTGTGTATTATCAACATTTTATTGTTAATATTTTTATTATTATCATTTCATGATACATTTAAGGTGTTACATTTAATGAATAGAATGAATTTACCTCCACCATTTGAAGAACTAGAAGCAGAATTTCCCATATTAAAAGAAATTTATGATATTGAATTATATAAAGATATTTTAGGCGAAGATATATTTGAATCAGTAAAAGGGAAAGGTAAGTAATTTTAAATTTGAGATATTTAACTCTTAATTTAGTTTTCTATTTCTTAATGCATTAGGTTTTTCACAAAATAATAAGAAAGAAAAAGAAACTGATGAAGAAGAATCTGAAATAGAATCTGATGAAGATACTAATGTTAAATCCTTACAAAATGTACCTATAAAAAGGAAATGTCTACAATCTAAAAAACGATTAAAAATTCCTAAATTTATTAATCCTGCAAAACAGCCAACAGCACTTACTTCTATTCAAAAAACAATCAGACCAGAAGACATGTTTGAGTCTGTACAGCTTGGTGAATCTAAAAGTTTAAAAATTGAATTGAAAACCGTTGACAAATTATTAGAAGGAGTGGATGTTTTATCTGAACATAAGCGTGATAATATTCTAGAAACACAAAGTGGATTTGGATTAATGTTTCCTACCAAGAATATTGAACATGCAAAACAAAATATAAAACATTTTTGTGAAGAATCTCTTGAAAAATCTTCTGAACAACCACTTGAAAAACCTTCTGATTTTATTACAAAAGAAGAATTAGCATCAAACAGAATATCAATTAATGGTAAGAATATATTTCTAATCTTATCTGTCACTTATACAATAATAGAAACTTTGAATAAATGAACTATTTCTATTCTATATATCGCATAGATCAAAGACTTCTTCCTGTTTTCAAAAATTATCATGCTGGAAAACCAACAAATCGATTGTATATAAAAAATCTTGCAAAACAAGTTGAAGCAAATGATTTGCACTATATTTACAAGAAATATGTAATACCAGGATTACCAAATACTGAACATGAGTAAGTTGTACAATATATGTTTGATTTAATATAATTATATACCAGATATATATTTTAATCATAAAAATCTATAATCATAGATATAATGTTCGTCTCATGCAAGAAGGTAGGATGAAAGGTCAAGCATTTGTCACATTACAAAATACGGCTCAAGCACAGTTGGCTGTACAAGAAACTAATGGTTATATTTTAAAAGAGAAGCCTATGGTTGTACAGTATGCTAAAGTATCAAATAGCTAATATATATCATACATATATCTCACAGGATGTTCCTTTTTGTATTTATAATTATCTGCCCTTGTATATTATTCTTTATATCCTTTTTTTTTATCTTGAAAATTGTAAATAATAATTTTACTCTAGAAAAAAATTATAAACCAATATCATTTTGGGTTAAAAATTTTTGTGAGATCAATAAACTTTTCTGTTACGCGATTTTTAAAATTCTACGGAGAAACAATCAAATTGAAAACTTATTATATATATAACAAAGAAATCAGTAAATATCATTGACACGTTAATAAATTAAATAAAAGTATTAATTAATATATAAGAGTTGCTCAGATAAAAACAATTATGAGAGAATGTTTCGAAAACTTGAGGCAAATAAAATAAAATTTTTTGCATGACTGACGTAGTGGTACGTCAGAGCCGCGTCAGCGTAGGTTTGTGCCCGCCTGGCACAATGGCATCGAATAATTGTACAATCAGCCAGTAGAGTACGCTGAAGTTACGTTTCTTTGCCTGATCACATTTATAAAATATCGTACATGTATGCGCGCGCGTCCATTGTCCGGTTCACCGACCACCATCCGTCTCAAACCGTACACGGAGCCTATAGTATACCCCGATTCATCGCCGTCCCATATCTTTTCTTCCTTTCATTGCTTTCGTGTACTCGTTAATAATCCTGAAAACACGATGGACGTCACCCTTTTGCTTCAACATTCGCAGTACGCAATACCAATTGGAATTGTTCTAATTTGTGCCATCCTCGTCTTTGCTTTTGGTTTCAAGAAGGCCGAGCAACCACCGTTCGCTCAACTTTCCGACGTGGACCGGAAACTTAGCAACAAAAAGCGCGGTAAAACCAAAGATAAGGTCAGTAGAAAATTCAAATTATTTCTATTATTTAAGATACTATTATTTTTCTTTTTGATTTACGTCTCGTGTGTTGTTTCGACGATTTTAAGTCGCCATATGGTTGGTTCGCTGGTTGGCGGCGAGTAGACGCGTGCGCACACATGTATAATAATCAGCTGGTTTAGTTGAAACAGTTTGTATACGTGTACGATGTCTATCGAGTGTATGACGTAACAATATATACTTCGAAATGTGATTAGTTTTATTTGTGTTTCACTATAAATTTGCTCTTTATTATTTAAAATTTTTTTCTTCTGGTACATTTAATAAATATCTTTACTGATATACAATTAAAAAATTTTTTTATTTAACAATATATAAATATACGATTTTGTTATCTCTTTCAGAAAGCTAGCAATGGTCAAGTAGCAAGTGAGAAAGCAAGTCCACTTAAGAAAACTGTGGTATCAAAAACAGAAATTTCATCAAAGAAATCTACATCAAAAGCAGATGAGATAGATAGTAAGTCAAAGGAAAAGAAACAAGAAGATAATAAAATCTCTCTTAAGAAGGAAAAAAATCAAATTGATGCAAAAGATGTAAAAGAAAATAAAGTTGAACAAACAAAGAACAAGAAGAATTTGAAAAATTTAGTTCAAGAGAAACCAGTAGACTTTGATGATGGTAAATATTATGATATTATTTCTTAGATTTATAAACTAAACAATCTGTAAATATTTTTGGTATATTTTGTATATAAATTAATATGTGTATATAAATATAGGAGATTGGGAACAAGCATACTCTAGAAAAGATAAAAAAAATAAAAAAAAAGAAGAGGAAAGCCCTTCAAAGAAAGGAAAAAAAGCCACGAAAAAGGCTGATATAATTAATGAAGCTGCAAAACAGAAGGAACTAGATAAAGGTGAAGTTAAAGATAAAGTTGCTAAAGAAACAGAAAATAAAGAATTGAAGGAAAAGGATAAAAAAGAAGTAATTCTTACTCCAATTTCCACTGACAAGATAATTAAGGAGAAAGAATCAGAAAAGGAAGAAGAACAAAATAAGGTATGATATTGGTTATATATTTTTTCTGTTAAATAAGTAAAATCAATAGATTTGTCATAAATAAATAATATAGATATGTAAATACAATATTAAAGATATTTTATAAATAAGATAATTTATATATTTACTCATTATACAGACTGAAAAATCAGAAAAAGAAGAAAAGAAAAGTACCAAATCAAAAAAGAATAAAAAGATTTCTGAAGAAGAAAATACACAAGTATCAATAGTCTCTACAGCAGAAATAAATACTAAATCTGTTGAAAATTCAGTGCAAAAAAAGACAGATAATTCTGATCTTAAAGTGGAACAAACACGGGAAAAAAATACTTATGCATCGGATGAATCAGGAGGTAATAAAATCTTATGTAATTATTTGAGTGTTAAAGCAACTTTTATTAATGCACTTTATTACATATGTTTAAACAGATGCAAAATTGCAGAAAAAAAATAAAAAGAAGGCTCGGAAAGATAACTAAGGAAAGTCAAATGGAATGATAAACTTCTTTTACTAAGAAGAAATGGAGTGAGAAACCTACTTGATTCAAAAAATATGCATTGCTTTGAACAAGATGGGTGCTTTTCAAGTGACTTATTAATCAACCGGCTGACCAAATCGTTCCTCATCTTTGTATATAATATTAATTGGATTAAGTTCTTTAAGCGAATACAGTTACATATAGGACTCATGACATCAGGTGCGTACATAGCATTCATAAAAAGACTTCTTAAATATTCCCACTTTATTTTGACATGTCCATTGTAGCCACCTTATAACTGGGGTATCACTGCCTTGCATTTAATGAAAGGGGCATAAGTCATAGTTTTTGACATAGTGTAATTACACAAGATAAATTATTTTAACATGATATATGTTTATAATAGCACATTACATCTCTCTTGATCTGTAGAGATATATCATGGCTTTAGAAGCAAAACAGTTTACATAGTTAGAATCTAGTACTTATGCCATTTTATTTTTTAAGGTAAACGTATAGTGAATATTTTATATAAGAAAACTTTAGTTTGCAATACTATATAAATATGTTCATTAATTTTTTTTATTAGTTCACTACAGTTACTAATCATTTATTTATATTTCAAATATTGTAAGCCAAAATGTAGAAAGTATAAAATATTCTTCAACTTGTCATTATATAGGACAATCTCTTAAAAGAAAAACATACAGAGATTTATTAAAGACATATTTTCCTACATAAAGGATAAAAAATTACTTTTGTTAATATTATTACTTAATATTAAAAGAAATATCTGTGGATCTTCTTCTGAATTTTAAAGAAGTTTATATATTTTTAAAACAGTAAATATATCATATTAACTTAAAACTAAACTTATACTTAGCTTCAGATAAAAATTATTATTTTTAACTTCTCTAAAAAGTTATAAAATTTTATTGAAATTGAAGATATAAATTTTATAGAGATTCTTTCTATTATCAGACAACTTATTAAAATTTAACTACATTTAACAAATGTTTTTTTTGTACTAGAATGTGATGCTGATTACAAATAAATTTATAATAAGTGTGTGCCAAGCACTAAGAAATCTATACAATCAAGTTACAGTAAAATCCATTTGGAAATACTGTCCAAATAGTGTCAATAGTTTTTATGTACTATTGGACAATACTTAAAAAATCAATCATTAAATTATAATATAGAAATTATATTTGTGAAGGAAAAATGGTTGGTAAAAAATAGAAAATATATATGTTATTGAAAAAAAATTAACTGTAAATATACAAATTATTGTTATAATAATATTCTGGAAAAAAATTTAAATAAGCAATATGGGCCTAGCAAACTTTGATTTTCTGAGTAATTCAAAGTTCGTATTCACATATCTCATTTTATATTACATTTAAATAAACATAATATATTTTTTACACACAAAGTAAAATTTGATCTATGATAGATAAATTGAAATATCAGAATACAGACTTGGATTGAGGCTTAATTTTCAAATTATTATTTGTTATTACAGTGGATCTCAGATAATAGTTTTATTTAAATACTTTGATAGAATGATAATAATGATATTCAATGGTTTTGCTAAGTCCACATGTGCGTAAATCACAGTGCTATAAATTATTTATAAAAATATAGAAATTGTTTTTATATATGTACTTGTGAAAACTAAATTAATTTTTCATGCTTTACATTGCTACAATATATTAAAATATATCTAATAACAATTGGTACAAAATCTGGAGCAACAGATTATTAATGAGTGTGGTTAAAGTTTTATCAGATATATATATTTTTTTCATTATTATCCATGTACATCATTTTAATGAGCTTTTATATTATGGCTCATATAAAAATGGATAGATAAGTATTTTTTAAATATATCAGAATCTATTTGAAAAAATGCTTTTATGCAAAATGTAATTAATAATTGTTTCATTAATATATAAAACAGCATGCTCTGTATAAACGCAAAAATACTGATGATAGTTATGTATAAAGATAAATGTGTTTATATAAAGATAGATGGATTAGAGATATATATATTATATATTATAAGTCTTATTTTACATAAAGTGCATAAGCAGCTTATATTTTATTAAAAAACAATACAAAATGTGAAAAAGTATATTATTTGCAGCTATCAATTAAAAACATATTAATTATTATAATTATTGTAGCCATTAATTGCATATTTACATTTATTCTACATAATTCATATAAACGTTATTTAATAATGTTTATGATAATTTCGAGTTCTGTTGAAAAGAGTAATAGAGAAAAATTTGAAGCATATATCTGATGAAATCTTGTAATAACCATTTTGTATATCTCATCTTTATGGTCTGAACATGCATAATGGGACCATTAATGGTTCTTCATGTTTAGCAAAGGGTACCTTATTATATATATTTTTTTGATAAATATAAAAATAGAATACACGAAATAGAAAAATATTTCCATTTTTGTGTTTTTTAAAATATCAGTAATTACAAGATCTTTTCTGTAGTATAATAAGAATTATTATAATTTCATCACAATATTTTTTATAATTGAGATATAAAAAAATTGTAGTATGTTTCTCTTTATATAGTATTGATAAATGTTTAATCTTTCATATCATATAATCAATGTATAGCTAATTAACGTGCCAAACAAAAAATATATAGCTATATGTTATATTTTTCTAAGAGTAAATCTCATAAAAGAACTGGTATTATCTACAATGTATATTTTATGATCTTTGGAAGTACCATTGTTCTATTATTTGATATAGTGTATACACAATTAAATATGGCTTTTTTTAAATTGCTTTCGTAATTTCATTTTTGTTTTGCTTAATATTTCTGTTGTAAATGCTAACTGTGTGTTTTTTTATTTACTTTGTTTGTATAAAATAATTATTAATGTACTTAAATATTTTCCATTAATTACTAAAAAATGTTACATTGATAAATCATACATTAAATGGTTTTTGTTTGAAATTTTGAGATAATTAAATTATAAAATAATGCAGGCAAAAGTATATATAGAAAATAAATGCTCTTTGTGCATATGTGGATATTCTTTTTGTATAATTTTCTTGTAGTAAAATTAAAAAATTTAAACAACTTTATTAATAAAATTATAATTACTGTAAATAAAGAAATAATATTCAAATTGTACATATGTATATTAAAAATAATTTTCTGATTACAATTATATGTGCAATCGTCATTTAAAATTATAGTGATAATTTTTAATATCTAGATCTAAATGTTTACATCGATATAATATAAAACGTGACGATGAATTTAATTGGTATCTGTTTAAGCATTCCAAATTTTATTTGTGAACAACTGTTTTACACATGTTTATTCATATTGTTTTTGCAGTACTAAGTGCTTTTATAGTAGTTTATAAATAACTTACATTTTTTTGAATTGTAGAAATAATTTTATGAGATTATGAATATGTTTCATAACTTTGTTATAAGACATTTTAAAAAGAAAATTATTGTAAAAATAAAGGAGCTCTAAGTGTATGCTTAGTATTTTTATTACTTTCAATTAATATAAAAAAGTTAAAAAAAAACATAATTTACGTATTTAATTATATGTATATTTAAGGCAAAGAGAAAAAAGTTGTACGTCATAATATGATTTTTCAACAACATAACGCTAGAATATATAATTTATCTTACTTAAAAAGTCTAATAACTGGAAACTTGCTACAAATATATCGTTACAGCTATTTTTATTATGGCTATAGCAGCAATATAAATATATGCATAAATATGTCATGTAAAGTGCGTGTTTATTACTTAAATATTAGATTAATAATCACTAGTTTTTGATTTAATATTCAAATCAATCAATTAAATAAAATAATAATGAAATGTTATTATAAGAAATCTATGGAAAATTATAATTTAAGAGAGATATTCTGCTTCCTAATCTTGTATTTTATTCTTAGTTCGAAACAAAAAGAATATTTAACTATATGGCAAATATATCTATTAAAATTTGAAGATAAGCTTATATTTCTATGGTGATAAAAAGGGAGTCTTATTGAATGCCCTTCGTTTTGGCAGCAGAAAATTTCTCCAATGTAATCGTGGTTTTGTTTGTGATACTTCCGTAAAATGCGCAAGGAACATGAGTTACTGTGAAGTAGAACAAAGAGGCAGATAATGATAAATGAATAAAAATTATATTTTTCCAGCATATAATTGGGTTTTTATTATTCCTTTATGCAGTATCATTGTGCGATATTACGCGCATTTACATATTTATACCGATAGTAATGATTTTCATATATATGATTTGTAATATATTTATAATTTATTATTCATATCTTTGTGTTTAAGCAATTATGCTACTGGTGTAAATTGAAACTATGAAAATTCTAAGATCATTGAAATTACCTATTTTCAATGCGAATCTTTTACTACATACAATTTTATTTTTTATTACATACACCTAGAAATTTATTATTTGTTTCTAAACAAAAGTTTGAAGTAATTATAAACGTTATTATACATATATTAAATATAATATTAGCACATGAATAGCATTAAATGTGGAAATGTATGTACATATGGGGCTTATGAACTTTTTATGATCGTATATAGTTTTTACTAAATGTACGATTTATATTACTGTATACTTTTATAAAGTTTTCATATTTAACTACTATCGTTAGAAGTATATATTAAATCTATTTTTATGATTTAATTATATTTCTGTTAATTTTTTTAATGAACTTGAACAAATGTATAAAAAAAAATATGACAAGGAAAAGCTTGGAAGAACTTTTATATGGGAAATTATTTGTTGTCTTTATAATGTCAATCATTTGTTCGATTGACTTTTTTCCGATATTTAGTGCATTTCCTTTTAAATTGTCTTATGGGTTTTACAGATTTTTCGATATCACTCTCGCGCCTATTATTATTTTTACTTTCCATGCTTTTACTTGTAAGCTTTCTTGTTTTATGGTGAATCAACAAACATACACTTTTTCTGGGTGTTTTACTTTTCGTTTTAAGTTTTTTCCTTTTCTGCTTTTTAGGACAATTCATGTTAGCGATAATGGCTTCTGTATCGGCAGAGATCTTCGTCTTAGATTGTTGAGTCAGAACAGTGATTCGAACGTACGAGTCATACAAAATATCGCCGCAGGTTTCACCAAAACAATATTCTTCGCCACATTTCCCGCAAATTTTAACGCTACTTTCAATAATCCCAGCTCGATTTTTATTACGTCTTATTGGACTTATAAAGGAACGTCGTTCTTTTATGCGAGTTTTTGCTTCTAACTTGCCCATTTCTACCTGCAAATAACAATCATACTTTATCTAATAAACGATTTCAGTTTCATAGATTCATACTACAATTTCATGATAGTTAATACATAAAGGATTACCAATCTTGAAAATAACTCTTCATCTTGGCGAAGTTTCGGTCTAATCGGCGTAAGCATTTTCCAATCGATAGCAACTTGTTGTAATTCGTAAAGATTTAAATTTTTCATATCGGGCGGTATAGGATCTCCATATGTCCATTCTCTTTCAATAGCTTTCAATTCTTTTTTGGTTGCTTTCCAAGAAAATTCCTTATCACGTACTTTGGTATCTTCTTTTTTTACCTTAGTGTAACAATACAAATCATAGTAATAATGAACAAAAAAGTGAAATCATATTATTATATTCGATATATTTTATCAAATATCAGGTGCATATATTTTTATAAGAATAATAGGATTTATAGATAAATAATTACGATTAACTTTGAATATTATAAACAAACCTTTTCTGATTTGATCTTAAATTCTGGACAATGTTCCAACAATTGTCTGAATTCCTCTTGAGAGTTACATGTCGCTTTACTTAAGTCCGGTATTAAATTAGCATCTTTTTTATCGTCCTTTAAAAGATCATCTAACTCGAACGCCATTATAATTTAATATCTGTAACGCGAAAAGAATGCCTCATATCTTTATATCTTCATTTCTATTTTCATTTTATATCTTACTATCTCATATTCTTTATAATCTACACAATCGCCCTCTACGAAAAAAAGAAAGGAAACAAACAAAAGAATGTTTTAATATGCCCATGATTTTGATTATATTAAAAGATTTCCGATGTAGTTGGTGATACCAAACTTCTATCGGGATCCCATTCTATTTGTTTCATCAAAAGACCCTGAAAAATTATAAATTCTTAAATAACAGTATTTTTAAAAAACACAAACGCATTATATTTTCAATATACATTTCTTAAAGAATTTAATTTCTCCAAAATTTCACGTCCGCACCAAATATTAGACTGCTTATTTTCTGGCTTTTCTTTGATTTCATTCATATGATTAATATCGAGTAAATGTTTATGATTTCTATCGTTTGGGCTAGTTTCAATATTAATTTTTCCATTTCGATCAATACGCAGTGGTACAATAGAATTAAGACTGTCTATTGATAAATCGGCGTTGTAACTATCCACCTTTAGTTTCCTTCTAATTGAATTTCGCATTTTTATTTTTGCATTTATCGGTTTCCTTCGATCGAGAGATGGTGATCTATATAAAGATTTAGAATTAATTTAATAGAAATATAGAAAAGTACAAATATTATTTATGAATTAGAGAAAAACAATTTTTATACCTCGATCCTTCATCACTAGATTCAACTTGATGTTTTCTCAAACGCAATCGTCTCTGATAATGCGGATCTTTTTCACTTTGCGTTCTATATCGCGTACCTGGTCTGTAAATCAAAATTGATCATACATTTGTTTCTATATAGATCTTTTGTAATCGTTAGTTGAGTAATTAAATGCTCTGATTTGCCTTGTACCTGTTGGCATTCCAACGTGGCCTCGACTCGATACTTGGTCGGGGCTGAGATTTAGACCTTGCAAATGTTTTGGTCGGAAGTTCTTCTGCTTGATATACATTCGTTGACCTTTCGATAACATGATGTAAATTAATGTATTATTCGATAACAAGATGTAAATTAATATACTATTAAAATAGATTTTCACAGACACATACGTAGTAACGCGTAGAAAAAAAAAGATATAGATGGTTACTTTTGTTTCTTTCGGTAATTCCGTAATATTTCACAAAAAATGATCGTCTTGAAAGAAAATAAGAATAGTAGTTACCGCCTTGGTATTATGCATTATAGAAGAATAGCTTCCATGAATTTACTGTTGAAGCGTTTCGCGATGTCGAACTTGGATCGACTCACTTTTCTACGTCTCTTCTGTTTGCATTGGTTGTGTCCTTCCGTTCCTTAATCGATCCATCCTTTGTCGATGATTCTTGAATCTTCTCACGAATATCTTGAAGATCACTTTCGATATCGGTCTGCGTACCAAAATCTCGACCAGAAGTCATTCTGTATTTGCTGGGTGTGAGTAGTCGATTTTCAGTAATCGTTGGTGAGATTTTCGAAGAACTTTTAGCCAGAATTGGGCTTCCTAGATTCTTCATTAGAACATCTAATCCCAAAGATAATACTGATTCATTTTCCGATTTTCTCGGACTTGGAGTAACAACCAAATTTACTAATTGCAGATTAGCTTTTTTAAGTAACTCCGAGTCTTCCAATCTTCCACTTAAAACGATCGCCACGTCCTTACTAATTGGAACTTGCACAGAATTTATTTCTTCCATGGTACCTTTCGATTTCTCCATATGAACGATTTTCTCTTTTTCATGATTAATTTTTTTCTCACTAATTTCTTTTGCATCTTTTGAAATTTGCGATTCATTACAACAATTATCCAAATGTTCTTGAGACTTATCATCTGTGCAATTTTTTACTGTATATTGTTTCGTTTTAAACTCGTAATCTTTGGATGAAGGATTTAGCATCGTTTCTTCCATTTCGATACGTTTCCGACGATTCTTTTTTTCTTCTTTTGCTGAATTCTCTGCCGCTTGAAGAATTTCGCGCATTGCTTCAGCCTTCTTTAATTTCGCCTCTTCCTTTTCTTTTAATTTTCTTTGTTCCTCTTCGAATCTTCCAAAATACGATATACACTTTTCGCAAAATATAACAAAATAATGATAATAATAATAATTAATATATTTATTATAATACCTTTCTTTTTCCTTATCCCTTTCTCGCTTAATTCTTTCTTCTTCCAATTGTTCCTCCCTTAATCTTCTTGCTTTTTCTTCCTTTCTTTGTCTATCTTTTTCCTCGAGTTGCTGTTTTATAGCATTTTGAAGTTCAAGAGCTTTCTGTCTCCTGACTTCTCGTTCTTGTAGAATGTTTGCATCAACTGGTATGTTTTGACCACGAAGATAAGTTTTAGTAGTCTCGGAACCGGTTGATCCAGTAGTTGAACTATCTGGACTGCTTGCACTATCGTGATTAATTACTAATACCTAATAATAAAAAAGTAGTTATATTATATATATAATAAAAGAAAAAAGAAAACTAATTGATGAGAAAATTCTTATAATATCTATTACTTGACTCGACTGATCTAATCTCGAAAGCCAAGATGGTGGCGGTGGCGGATCTCCTTTTACACTATCTTGTCCCCAAATGCTACCCCATCTAGGTCTATTTATTAATTCTCCAGCTCTTCCATCCAAAAGCCTCCTTGATGATGGTAATGAGTTATCTGGTGTAGTGTAATAAGGATTTTGCCAAGTTCTTTCCATTGTGTCCGTTTCAGAATCTTTACATCCTGGTATGAGTCCTTAACAGATAGAAACAATAATAATATCGAAGTAAATAAAAATAATTTAATATATTGTTTATATATTAAAAATCAATCTTTCTTACGCCGAGATTCCGGCAATGGTACATCGATGGAATCGCTAGCGTACCCCGAAGTTTCACCCTCGCGTTCTTCGCCTAACAAACCGTAATGGTGTAACGATTCGTTCTGGTTTTCGTGACGATCATTCGATCGATCCTGCTGTTGCGACTGTTTTTGTGGCTTATGAAACTGGTGGTAATGGGACTCCTTGCCGTCGAAGTCACGTCGTTGTTCCTACAAGAACAAATGAAAATGTTGTACCTTTAATATTTTATAGACATGAAAAATGATTAACTCTTTCGCGTGATTTACTTAAACTTATCTAGCAAAGTGATTTTCATATGATTTATAATCTTGCAAATTCACATGTATCGATTATACAAAATATCAACCACAATCGCGTGTAACAGGAAAACGGATATTGCGTGACGGACGGCTTCGTCCATTGTGCTTTTTATGGATATTGTAATGTGGCATCCAAATAAATCTATCATACATCTAACGTATCAGTTTGTGACGAGAACATATAGCTTGTCGAGGATTCTCCAACTTGTACTAATACATATGATTTGTTACATCGATAACATTTGAATATTTTAATGCGTAAAACATGTAAGACATTTTATTAAAATCTACTTTAAAAATATTCTTTTATATTTCCTTGAATAATATCAATCAAATATTAAATTTGTTATAGTCATGTAAAAAAATGAAGAGAACGAGCAAACAAAAATAAAAGGGAGTTCCGTAAAGTTAGAATATATCATGACATTATTCGGGTCGGCGAACCTTAATTATACGATAAGGATCGATTTGCCAGAGTGCCTTACTTTTACTTTTACTTCGTAAAGACGTAACGATCGTGTTTCGTAGTTATTGACCCAGTAGGATGTAATGGTTATAAATTCAATTTGTCTCTTAAGTGATACATCTGGCAATTTTGTGTCCTGACTTTACATGGAAGTGTATAGACTAGATAGTTACCCCTTAGACTCAATAATTTATATTTCTTTAAAATATTAAAAGTAATCGTTTATATGTAAATCGTTTATAAACTTTTTACTTGAAATAAGACTTTTATTATTTAATAATTGGATTCGTCATGTTATATTGATTTAAAAATGTATTTCTTAAAACTTAGGAAATTTTTTATTTCTTAGAATTAATTAGGACGTATTATATCGTTCTGAGAATATCGCGTAGGTAACTCAAGGATTTTTAAGTGACTATCTATAGGTAGTATATATCAATTAAGCAAATAGATCAAACACATTTCTTTTAAATCTATGTCATCATCGTTAATTTCATAATAACTATTTTTAGAACTTCTGCGGGTTTGTATTTATATCATAAATAATATACATGAATACATCTTTAAAAAACCTAAACTATTCTGCAATATATCCACCTTTTGGCTTATTTGATTTTTTCTTGGTCACTTCCATCTAAAATGACTTATTCTTCCTAAACTAAGATTGTTATTAACAATTGCGAGTTTCTCCACACCAAAAACAGACTTTTAGTGCTCGACGATCAATCGACAAGAATTCAACCCTTAACGGTTTAAAAACAGTAATAATAAACGAGAAAACAGTTTCCCTAAAATACGCTCGTACAAATTTAATGATCGTTATTCTTGATTGACATTATCTTCATAAATTATTATGTATGTAAACACTAAGTACAAAATCAATAACATTTCAAAATACTGACCTGATATAAATATTGTTGCTGATCTTTATTATAAATTGGTGGCAAACTAGGACTTCTGCGTCGAATACGTGATATTTCTCTGTGATCATTAAGATTAATTAAACTACCACTGGAGTAATCGAAACTTTTCAAATTCGTAGTAACGTTTCCGGTACAATCCGTTGATAAGGCTTTTAAGTTCACATTATTTCCGTAATGACTAGTTGCACGAAAGGGTTGCGATGATATCTGTTTGTCTTTTGAATCGATTAAAGACAATCTTGAGCCAGTTGCATATGTGCTGTATTAAGTATTTTGATAAATTATTTAACTTGCTATTTCATTAATATACGCGATCAATTATAATTCAATTATTTAATATTTACCGAACAGTTGTGCAGATAGTATCATTGTGCTTCAGCGTACCCCAATTTCCACCAAGACGTGCCATTTCTTCTACAATATATAAACACAAAGATAAGTGTAAGTGAAACAAACATAAGTTTACATTAATTAGTAATGAAATATTTTAACAAAACTATTAAAGTGTTATATCACAAAAACATTTTTTCAGTGCATCGAATATAGATAGTTCCCAACTTTACGAATTAATTCGTTTCGATCTCTTTGGATCATAAAATGGAAATTATCATTAATTGTAAAAAAAATTATAAGTAATTAATAATTATAATAAAACCAATTAAAAAATGCGTAATCAATCTTTCCTTAGATTGATCCTCCCTGATAGTCAAGGATAGACATACCTTTTTCCTTCGCCCACTGAATCCTCTTCTGTTCTACCAAAGTCGTCCTCGCGTTCATCATCGATGCGTAACATCGATTTCACGATTGACATCGAAGAAGAAGCGCGCGCGTTTGATGAAATGATGATATGAATGGAGCGAAAAATGATGAAAAATTTCCTAATATCATCCAAACTCCTAGAGAGATTTGGATAATTGGAAATATATCCTACCTAAGGTATGTTCCTACGAAGATAAAAGCAGAGTATGTAGTTTGGTAGCAATAGCAGACAGGTAACTTCCGGAGAGAACTGAGGATGGACGACATTAACGTCGTCTCGTGAGTTCATCACAGGTCGTGTCAATATTTGTGACTGCGGTAGCCTCGTAAGACTGAACTGGGTTTACTTGCCATTGATTTATATATACTTTGTGCTCGCATACCATCGAGTCAACTTACATGGGCACAATTCGATCGTTCCCTGTTTCCATAGGAACTGTCGTAAAATCAACCGCGTGATATTCAGCGCGTTACTTTTTCTCAGGGTCGATAATATTAATTCTCAGTATACGATAAGGGATAATGACCTCCACAGCTTTTTTTTATGGTTAGAGAATAGTATTTATAGCGGAATGCAACAGCTTCAATGTCAAGATCGGATATTCAGATTATCTTTTTCTTCTCTTTTTATCTATCGATTTCTTTTTTTATATTTCAAATTTGCGCTTTTCAGTTCCTTTTATTTTTTTCCTAATGAGATTGATTATTATTAAAACGTTTTGTATTACATTTTATTTGTTCGAAAAATCACGAATACTAAAAAATCTCCAATAAAACAGGAACATGGAATTAAAAATGAGACTTAACAAATAATAAATATTGTAATATTATAATAGAAAATAAAAATATGTGTGTGTAAAATAGTAAATGTGTGGAACTACGTGAATACATACACATTTAACCATTTTATTTCTTTCACATCTTTTGTATGACGAAATAAGTGTGTAATCTTTTTTTTGTATAGTAAGAAATCGTATTTCTATAAAAAGAGTATAATAAACCTAAAATTTAAAAACATTATATATTTTATATTATTATATAATATATTGAAAGAACATGAAATCAATCAAATGTTTAATTTGAATACGACCGGAATCTATCTTGAAAAAAGATTTTTGATTATCTTTAGTCATAGTAGCGCTAGTATCGTTAACCTTTTACGCTATCTAGCGGTTGTTTTATAAAATTATGATGGTCCCTTAGGTTTCTGTAAGTACAGCCCTGAATTTTTGGTATTCGATTATATTAAAAAATAATTACATTATTAATAATTATTTATGTATTATTTCATTTAACAAAAATTTATTTATCCTTTATTTAATTCTTCCTAGCAAATTTAATAAATTAAAATAAATCGATGCACATGACCGTATATATACAAATCTAAAGGATGCTTTGGACAGTACAAGAAAAACGACGGTAGCGCACCTGCGAATAGAAAGTATAATAAAAAGGTTTTAGTTGGTTTTATTTCTCAGTTTAAGCTTACTTCTCTTGGTAAATTTATTCGAAGTGCTCGTTAAGCGGTTTGCGTGGTTAAAGTAAGTTATTATTACGATCATTCTTCAAAATGGTGGATGTTTTAGATATTGATAATGCAGAAGATTTCGAAGTTGATGATGAAGGAGATCGTAAGTTATATTATGATATATTTATCTATTTATGTGAAAAAGAAAAAACCGCCAAAACACTTAACCTATATTTATTATCTTCAAATATTTTATCTTTTCAAATACTATTTTTAATTGTTTTTCCTATTTAAAAAAAGCGAATATAATTATTAGAGTAATGATTGATTGTAAGTACAAGTATATTATGGTAAATAAATAATATAAAATAAAAAAATTATAATAAAATTGTTTTTCAATAATAACGTTTATATTTTACAGAAGGAATTGCTCGATTAAAGGAAAAGGCAAAGAGAAGAAAAGGAAGAGGACATGGAGCTGAACTGGTATCAACACGAGATGATGTGGGACATTATGAATCTATGCACGTTGTAGAAGAAGATGATGATGAACCTGGCCCACAAAGATGTAATTCAAGCTATTTATGGTTGAATTTATAATTTTTATATATAGCACAAAAAAAATTTTTAATTTCTAGCTGTGGAAGGATGGATTTTATTCATTAATTCGGTGCATGAAGAAGCTCAAGAAGACGATATACAAGATAAATTTTCTGAATTTGGACAAATAAAAAATCTACATTTAAATTTAGACAGAAGAACAGGCTTTTTGAAAGGTTATGCTTTAGTAGAATATGAAACATTCAAGGAAGCACAAGCCGCAAAAGAGGCATTAAATGGTACAGATATTTTAGGTCAACCAATTTCTGTCGATTGGTGTTTTGTTAAAGGACCCAAAAAGTAAGTTATATCATTTTACATAAATTTATTTGTTATTATATGCATTTCATTTATGTTATTTGTATTTTACATGCTTATGTCTGTTTTCAGAATTAGAAAAAGGAGTCATAGAAGACGGTGAAAATAAACACGAACATATATATATATATATATATATATATATATATGATATGATATGATATGATACAATATAAAAAAAATAACTTTTTTACTATTTGTTTCTTTAAAAGTAATCAATATTATATAATTTAAGAATAACAATATTAATGTGAAAAATGATAGTTGTTGATTCTGAGAAAATCTGTTTCTCATATTTTTTGAATGTCACAATATCATTTAATTTTATTTTATCTGTATTCTTTCAATTAAATTTATACTTGTATTCATCGTATAAATAAAATGCTTAACAAGCTTACGTTTTTTTTTCTGTTTTTATATATCTTTAAATTATTATATTAATAAAACAATTTTTAGAAATATATCAAAAATGTAATACTTTCCTCCATTTGTTATTCCATTGTTTAATGTAATCTTGCAGAAAGTAAGAATTAGACCTTTATTAATTCTTATGTTAGGTACATGTTTCAGTGCATTGTAGATGCATTTGCTTATTGCACAAGCATGTAATTCAATTTCCATTTATAAATAACATAAGATATGCAACTTCCTTTTCTATTTGTTGTACAAAATATGTTGATAAATAAGAATATAAAATAGAATTAAGCATAGTAATTAAGATTTGCTTTCTTCTTTGCTTGAACTTCATTAATTGCTTCCATCAAATCTTCATGAGTAACTGCAGTTGCATTACGTCTTAAAGCAATCATGCCCTATAAATAAAAAAACGTTGGATTGTAATGAATAATATAATATGGAGTGATATAAGACTGAGAATATAAAGCTGTTACATACTGCTTCAACACACACAGCTTTACATTGTGCTCCATTAAAATCATCAGTTGATCTAGACAACTCTTCAAAATTAACATCTGGAGACATATTCATTTTACGTGAATGAATTTGCATAATTCGTGCTCTAGCTTCTTCATTAGGATGAGGAAATTCGATTTTTCTGTCCAAACGTCCTGACCTCAATAAGGCAGGATCTAAAATGTCTACTCTATTTGTGGCAGCTATTACTTTTATGTCAGCTGTTGAACTGAATCCATCTAATTGATTGAGAAGTTCCAACATAGTACGCTGTACTTCCCTATCACCAGCTTTTTCTGAATCAAATCTCTTTGTACCAATAGCATCCAATTCGTCTATAAATATAATTGCTGGTGCTTTTTCTTTGGCTAAAGAAAATGCATCTCTAACCAATTTTGCACCATCACCAATAAACATTTGCACAAGCTGTGGTCCAGCTAATTTTAAAAATGTTGATTTAGTTTGTGCTGCACATGCTCTGGCTAACAAAGTTTTTCCTGTTCCTGGTGGGCCATATAAGAGTACACCTTTTGGTGGTTGTATTCCCAGATTTTCAAATTTTTCTTTGTGAGTCATTGGTAAAACTACAGCTTCTATCAATTCTTGAATTTGTTTATCTAATCCTCCAATATCAGAATATTGTTCAGTTGGTCTTTCATCTACTTCCATTGCTTTAACTCGAGCATCATATTCTGCAGGTAATGTTTCAAGAACAAGATAACTATCTTTATTAACTCCAACCAAATCTCCAGGTTTTAAAGATTCTGCATCTACCAAGCCTATTACTGGAAGGAAATATGTTTGACGAGTTGATGTTTTTATAACAGCACATTTGCCTTTTCTTTGAGCATCTAAATCAACAACAGCACCATCTTCTTCTCCCATATCCTGTGGATCTACATCTAGTAATTCAATAACATTAGAAACTAAATATGGTAATGTTTTATTAACTTTTATCTTTTCTGTATTTTCTTTGATTTTATCATTTTGTGCTTGTAGTTCATGTGAAATTCGCATAACTTCACTTTTCATTATTTTTATTTCATTATCTAATAACCTAGTTCGTGATACTATTTCATCAGTAGACATTCGTAGTACATCTTCACCCAAAATTTCCTGAAAATTAGATATAAAATTATACATAGACATTTATTCCAATAAAGATTAAATACATATAGTATTTAATATACACATACAATTTTGTCTATATAGACAATAAAGATTAAAACAAAGATTCCATTATTGATAATCATAAATATTTAGTATATTACATGTATTAACTATACAGTTTGCACATTATATTCAATTTATCATGTTTTCTGTTTATTATAAATAATATTATATAGTTCATAATACTCTTTATACATTTAGATATGCTTGTCATGCAATCACTCATAACCTTTAATAAAAAATTTTATTTATTTTACCTCTCCATCTTCCCAAATAGATTTATCTTCGAGAGTAGCCATTTATGCTCAATATGTATATTATTATACTTATATAATTTAGAACTATTTTAATGTATTTAAATACTTCTTCTCTGATTAAAATCCAACTTCTAATTCTAATAATGCCCTCAAACTATTTTTAACTAAGATGAAAACAAGATGTATGATAAACTTTTAATGAACAATACGCTGCCATATGGTGAGAATTGGAAGATATTCGTCGTCTGTCGATAAAATGAGACTTCGTTAATACCGACGCATAATAAGTTAATAAAAATTCCTATATATAATATGTAAGGGCTATTTTATAATTTAATTAATTTAACTATGAACATAACTTTTCTTAATTCATTTATTATTAATCACGATTTTAAATAATATTTTTTTGCAAACCTGAAAATGTATAATAAATAAAGCATAATAAATAAATAAAAAATATTCTACTTACAAATGTGATACATGAATCATTATATATGTATATAAAATTTGAATCCAAAAATGTAGCAAGACAAAACATAAAAATTATATAAATTGAATGCATTCAAAATACAAACCAATTGCATTTTTAATTAATATGTAAAGAATAGTACCATGTTCGAAGATAACATTACCAATAATATCAAAGCATTTATTAAAATTAGTATAATTTAGGTAATACAGTTAAAAGATTCATCTGGCACAAGATGGTTTTTTTAAATTGATCTATATTATATATTGCATTATAGATAATCAAAATATGTGAGTGTACCTTGTGTGTGCACGTGTGTGTTATATTAATTGTATTATGTAAATAATTTTATTTCATTTTTATCAATTAAAAAAATGCAATTTATGATACATAAATTTCTATGATGTACTGTAAAGCAAAAATAAATGTAGTACAATACTTAGAGCAATATTTGATTTTTGTACATTATGTAGTTATATCATAGTTAATGTACCCTACATTATATTTGTGGTATTTTAAAAACATTATGAGAACTTCATTGTTAAATATTCCTGATAAAGGACTAGATTTATTTATTTTACAGAGCCATAGTTCAGTAAAGTTATCTTTCTAGATAAACTGATTAAAATATCTTAATTCATTACTAGAATTAATTTTTTCACAATTCCATCTTTTAGGCACACCTGTTTAGTAAAATTACTATAGATTTCCATCCTAAATTGATTTTTACATAATATAAGATAGTATAAGATAAATTAATTACATTTAAATTGATTTTATAAAGAAATAATAATTAAATATAAGATATTATATAAAATAAATGTCTGATTATATCATTTTTACTAAAAATAAAATGAATATAAAATTTTTTTTTGCCAAAAGCAAAAATTCAGTTTACATACTTCTACTTAATTAAAATTAATGTTAAAAACATTACTTTTGTTTATAAAGCACCTGCACTATTATAAAAATCATTCTGTTCTTTCATAGCACTTACGCACTTCATGTTAAAGTAGCAATTTATTTTTGTCATGATAATAATAAATGAAAATTCTATACAGTGAAATCTGTATAATTTTCAACATGAACTCGAAATTTTCAAGATAAATATACTAAGAAAACTTTCTTTTCTTTTCTAGGTAATTATAATAAAAAGTTACTTTTGTTTTCGAATAATAGTCTATGTATATACAATGCGCTTTTCATTTAATTTACTTAATAATATGAAAAATGTACAATACATGAGTATTATAAGTACTATGATCACAATATTTTTTTTTGCTTTGAAATATACCTTCCAATATATAGATATTTTATTTATCAATACTTTACTATCCGGCGATACTTGTATTTAAATGGCTATATTAAAGACAATAGTATTATCCATTTTTTAATTTCATGCTTTTAAATAAAGGTCAACTCTTTTAAATAGTCTTCATTAAACTATTATCCGAAAATCTAGCTATAGTAATATTTATTGACAAAAACTGGCAGCACTTTGTTCGATGTATGTCAATATAATTATTTACAAAATATTAATTTACGAATAATAATCACACTTGAAAAATCTTTTTTCACACGATTTGAAAATTGTTTCATATTCATTGTTATATGATATATGTATTCAAAGTAGCCCTTTAATAAGATCACATACGTTAAGAATTATTCTATACCAGAAAAATCATATTCGTAATATGTCAGTAATGTTTTGTTATAGAATAAATAGAACATCATGATTGAAACAAATATTGTTGTTTCATTTGAAAACAGAAATATTATATTCTCGATTAGATTCAATACAGAATACACACACGCCACACACAATGCATTCATACACACAGAGAAGCTGCACTTTAATCATTGTGTTTCGACAGATTTCATATAAATATCAAATATTTTTTTGAAAAATAATTATCAAATCATTTTTTCTTTCAGAATATTTACTTTACACATGTGTGTAATAAATTTTGCAAATAAATAATTAATATTGAAAGTTATAAATTAAGTAATTATCTGTCATTCATATTCTTTTATAATTAGGCCTTTGAACACACAAAGTTAATATAATTTTAATTTATTATTATACATATTGCTCATGTGAAATTAATTCATTTTATTAAGTCGTCACATTTACGAATTGTAGCACAACCAATCTGTGTTGTATAATTGCTACAAATTTTCTCATATATTTCTTGAAAAATATGTTATTTGTTACTTGCTTATAATTATTAAATATATGTCTGTGACTAATATATCCCAATCATTTTTAATAAAAGAATAAGATATTTTTATAATGAATTATTCGAAGATATTTTATGTATACACCAAACTTCGTTTTCTATGAAGTATGTCCTGAGACTGTTATAGAACTTTCTGTTTATGCCCATACGTACACACTTTTGAGTACATTATTGTGTATAATATGATTTCTTTCATCAAGTAACGCTTGAAAATTTTAATTTCAAGTGTGTCGAATTGTATTAAATATATTTGTAATGGGAATTTTTTATATTTCATTGCACTTATGTATTATTTGTAACATACATTTTCTTTCTTTCCTTTCTTTTTTTTTTCTTTTCTTTTCTTTGTTTTTTTTTTTTTTTTTTTTTTTTGATAAGAGAAGATTGAGCCAAATCTTAATCTTAAAAAATTCATATAACTTGATCTGATTATGCACTAACTGCATATTAAGCGTATCATTAGTGTAAAATACTATATTTTATGAATACTTAAAGAATATGTAATGCGTTTGAAGAGTATCTGCATTGAATTTATAATGAAAAACATTGAAGCAAAAATAAAATATTTGATTTGACTGTCCATATTTATAAGATACCTACAATTTTATAATACATTTTTCAAATAGACTTAATTTATAAAAAAAGTAAAGCGGAATCTGTATACAGAGTGCAATTCCTACATTAAACTGAATACTTAGAGCACACTTTTTTTATTGGTATTAATCTGAGGCCTTTAGCCAACATCTGAGCTTCAAGATCACGATCTTCATCTTGATACCTGGAAAAAAACATATATAATATATAATATATAATATATAATATAATATAATATAATATAATATAATATAATATAATATAATATAATATAATATAATATAATATAATATAATATAATATAATATATAATATAATATAATATAATATAATATAATATAATATAATATAATATAATATAATATAATATAATATAATATAATATAATGTAATATAATGTAATATAATATAATATATATATATATATATACACATTTATACATTTAATAAAATATATTACAAAATCGACCACAATTTGCAATACCTCTGTCGTTCTTCTTCTAAAAGAGCTATAAGTGTATCTCGTTTTTCAACAATTTCTAACATTTCAGTCAATATTTCTCCTTCCTTTTCAACATCAGCACTCGTCTTTTTTTCATCTAACAAAACCCAGATATAAGTGTTAAACAATACAAAAACATAATTCTAATTAAATACTAAATGTTTTATTAATATATTATTTATTATAGAAAACTAAAAGAATTATTATAGACATTTACCATCATCAGCTAAACGTTCACGTAACTCTTGTTGTAATCTTTCATGACGATCTTCCAATTGTACTTCTTGTGCACGTACTAGAAGTTCTTTTTCATATCTACGTAGTTCTGTACGTTCTTTCATCAAATCAAACCATTCCCTTAATAAATCTGCTTCTTCTCTATCTGAACAATCTAAACACCTCATATCATTAAAGAATCTATTTAAGATGTATAAAAAATTTCGTTTCAATTCATAATTGGCGAAGATTAATCATCTCGATTTTACGAAACTATGTTTTTAAGAATTATCTTTATTTATCATAAACTAATATCACATGGTAACGTATATGTGTATTCACGATATATTTTTGAATTTTTCAGAATTATGTAATAAATAATTACATTACCTCCTTCTCCACGAAGTGCTTTTTCAACACTAACACCCCTACTCTCTAATTCTCTTTGCTTTACTTCTGTTTCCTCTAATTTTCTTTGTATTTCCTGTGCCATCCTTAGTCTACAAATCAAGCAGTTACTTTTTTCCTTTTTGATGACATAAAATCTTTTAAATATTTTTCTATTTACATACCGTTTCAATTGTGCTTGCCGTGTTAATTTTCTCATTGTTTTTGTTTTACGTGAAATGCTATTACAAGATCCTTCTGTAGCAATAGCCTTTTGTACTTGAGATGTAGACAAAGCTGCAGTCTTTGTATCATCTTCTGATAAACTGTCATCTGACATAAAAATAAATTTATTTAAATATTCTAATATATCACAATATCGCACTGTTTTAATATTCACAATTATTACCTGAAATATGTGTTGTAACATTAATGTAATCTTGAGGTGGTGGAGGGATAGCTGGAGGATTTTCATTGAGGTAGTTTCCTATAAGCATAGTTTCACAAACACTCTTGGGCCTTGCCTTTAATTTTGTAGAATCCACTTTATCAATCTGAAAAAATGTATGGAAATGATTTTTATTTGAATTCGATAAGATTTTGATTTTAATCTCATATAAAAGTTGGGGTATATTCAATACACACTATGTACATTGTTTAAAAGCGGATACTGAAATAAAATCACTCTCTAAAAAAAGCATGAATGTTTCAAGTAAAACCCTAATACAACTACTGTCATTTGCTAAAAAAAATCATTATTACAGTGCAAAGGCACAACATTTACTAGAAACTACAATTGGACATGGCGTACATATAAAATTTGTTAAGCATTCAGAAAAGTATACAGCAAACGAAAATAAAATCGTGGTACCTTCATGATATGCAATAGCTAATACAAATACTGGCACAAGTAAACTAATATGGCAAAAGTTAATATCAATGACTTAGTTGCTTACATCTGACCCATCCGAATATGATTTATATAACTGAAACATTTTAAGACGAACCAGTTAGAAATGGATAAAAAAACGTGCGCACCACGTTCAAGGTAATGTGGCATTAAAATTTGCCTTCACTTACTTTGCCCTTAGATTTTGATGTAAGGCGGAACATCGATAGCTTGTCCTTCTGCGGAGAGACCGACGTTTCCTTCTTGAAGAAGAAGTCAGAAACTGCTTGAATAATACTTTTCCGTCTTTCTGGATCCTTTGCTTTTTTCGTTTCTCCTTTCATTCCACCAGTTGCATTATCAGAATTTGAAGCATTAGTTGCTTTTGATAATTCGTCCATTGATTTTGCACTTATGGTTGATACATCTTTAAGATTCATTTTTTTTGTTATTGCTTTCATATTATCTGTACTTTTACTCGTTTGAAGCTTGGATCCTGGTTTATTTATAGTGAAACTAAAAGATCTGCTTTTAATTTCGGGTGACACTATATCTTCTGTCTTTCTTCTCTCTTCGACCGAATGTTGTCGACGTGCGAACTTCATTTTTAATTCCTTGATTTTATCCTCCGGACTTAATCCTAGATCTTCATCACTTTTCAACCTAGCTCTTTCTCTTGCGTCTTGTCGTGCCTTTTCTGTTGTTCTCTTAGCCTCCTCATGTTTGAATCTAGGTGGAGCAATAGGAGTTTTGAAATCCTTGTCCATTTCACTATGCAAATTTGAAGATGCAGAATTTTCATATTTTTCTGCTTGATTTGTGCTTTTTTTATAAGTACTTTCATTGTTTTCTGTTTTTTGAGATGATATATTAGAATCAACAGGTAATGATTGTTCTGTCTGCAATATTTTTTTGGCATCAGCAAATGTCATATTATGAGTAGTATTACTAATTTGCGTTTCTAAAGATGTTGGTACGAATTTAGTTGCAGATGTATTATTAGTTGTAGTAGCAGCGATAGTAGGTAGTTTCACTGGAGATAGTACAGAGCTAAAAGAAGAAGCCCTTGCTGCTCTTCTGGCTTTCTTTTCTGCAGATTTTTGTTTATGTGCAACCAATTTATCCATTAACAAATCTTCAATAACATTTTTTTGCTTAGATCTTTCTCTTGTAATTTCTTCTAATTTACGAGAAGTGGCAGGAGAATTGAGATTATTATTATTGAATGACTCCTGATTTCTAATCTCTTCTGCTATTAATTCCGCTGTCCGAGTTTGCGCCAAGTTTTTAGAATTTTTTCTTTTGGATTTTCGGACATCTATTGAATCTTTAGCATTACTAAATTCTGCAATTCTTGATTGAAGACGCTTTACATATTCTAAATAATCCGGATTACTCGAATCTGCGAGTGTTTTTCCTTGTTGTATTTGCTCATGTACTTCTTCTTTAGGCACAATAGATTTTTGTGGATTAACAGGACTAGCAAGTATTGTAATGACTTCACTGGTAGTTGTATCTTCAGCAGGTTCAACTATTAACAAACTATCTTCATCCATAGATTGCAATGAGTCATTGTTAATTGTTTCTGAAATAATTTGTGCCTCTTGAACAGTTCTTGACTCTGTATTATTGGAAATTGAACTTTCTTGAGGTTTATTATCTGCAGAATTTGTAGCACCATTTAATTTATTCATGACATCATCCATAGTTACAGGATTGATTTCAATAATATTTTCATTGTTAACGATTTCCTCTTCTGAACAAATGTCGTTTTCACATTCCAATGTTGCTATTGGTGCATCGGTTATGTTACTTCTCAAAGAATCAATAGTTTTAATATTTACAAATTCAACATATCCTCTGTTCTTAAGTAATGCTGTATTAGTCGCATCTTGAAGACTGTCGTCTAAAAGAGATTCATTATCTGTATCCATATAATCAATGTTTTCTCCATTTGCAAGAAGTTCGGAAGTATTATTTGATGGAAGTTCTGTTCTTCTATCCGATTTATAAGTATACGCTTGTGTATTTTCCGGATTTTCTCTTTTCATCATTGTCGTATTACACACAGATGATTTTCCATAGAATAAATTTGAATTTTTTCTTTTAGTTACAAATTCAGGATTTATGTCAAAATCAGTATCTTGCAAGTCATAAGAAACTAAATCTTGACCATCGCGAGCCCATTCTGAAAATTCTGTTTCAGTAAGCGCAGCTGTTGTTGTTACATCGTTTTCCTCTGAATCATCTTGTTTATTAGATATTGCAGATGTCACTGACGCGGGACTACTACAACTGCTAATACTTTGTTTATTATTATCATGTAAATCACATTCTTCTATTTTGTTATTTAAAACTTCAATTAATTTATCGTTATTCAAAGATGATTGCATTAATTGTGTTACTATTTGTTCATTGTTTGATTGTTCATCTCGGAAAATTGAACATTCGATAGAATCTGGTTCAAATGTGGAACAGATATCCAATACCTTATTCTTTTCAATACCTTCGTCCAACAAAAGATCTCCATCTGTACTATGAATTTGAAGTCTTGGCGGAGATAAATTTGTAGTAAGTAACTGTTCGCCCTTGTTATCTTCTTCTATTTCAACATCACTTAAAGATAAAGAATCACTATCGATTTCTGAGTCTTCTGTACTATCGGCTTCTTTTAGTTCTTTTTTGTTTTTAACCCAATGTACTTCAGGAACAATAATTGATGTTTCATGTAATGGACTACGAGGGCGGCAACTGATATTCTCATCTAAACCCATAGAATGAGTTTTTTCTGTAATTTGAGCATTAACATTCTCTAGTATCAAAGATTTTGTATTGGTATCATTAGTTTTGGGAGAAATTTTTTCTTCTATTTGTTTTTTTTCAGCATCTTTCATAGATTCATTGACATTAGGAGCAGTCCTAGATTTTAAAATACTTGTTTCTGTTACCAAATCTGGAAGATGTATTTTAGATGGATCTGATATTCCACTAGCAGCTTTATGTTCATAAGAACCATTGTTTGGATTGATTTTAGAAACTTGATTAACTGATAGTGGTCTAACAGATTGAGAAGAAAATAACATAGTAGGTGATAATGGAGAAAGTTGACTATTACTTAAGTGTAATTTGCTTGTGCCTTGTAAAAATGCTTGCATTGTTGGACTTGGTTCAGGAGCTGGATTTAAAAGTTTCTGATGTTGAGAAATTGCATCTGTGAGACTTCTTAATTTTGTATCTACATTTGAAGTAGAACCAGACTTCATAACGGAGCCACCAAGAGCTGATCCACCCAACAAATATCTTTTCTTGAGTTCTAAAGACAATTTAGATGCAATTCCCTCTGTAGAATGCGTGCGATTTAATAGGTAGTCACCTTTTCGTGGATTAATTAGTGGTGACAGATTGTTTGTGTTGAAATTAGATCCAAGCATTGGAGATTTTGATTCAGTTTTAGTTTCTTGTATTGTTTTTTTTATAGGATTTAAATCTCCCGAATCAACTTTACCTTCTGAATCCTTTTCTTGTTTAAACTTTCCATTAATTGATGATATTATTTTACTTTTCACCTGCACTTTCTTAGGTTCCACATAATTACCCCTGGTCTTTCGAACGTATGCATCATTAATTGTAATTTCTGGAATTTCATGCCTTGTTGGTGTAACTCCATCATGCTCAAATTCAGAATCTGTAGATATTTCTGTAGCCGAATTTTCTTCGCTTTCTTCTGTTGATCCATCGTCGGAAGCAACCTGCAAATGAATACATTATCATATTATATAAAAAGCTATATCTCACATATTAATAATATCTAAAAATCATTTAGCATATTAGTATAATAAGATAAAACTACAAATATTTATTAAAAGTAGCCACAAAGAGAAAACAATATGACCCTGTATTTGTTTCCGTATAATAACTTTAGTATTTCTCATTTTAATGTATTAGAACACTATTATTTAAAGTTAAGCAGTGAGATTTATAATAAAGTAATGGCTGGTGGCAATTGTAAATATATCAATAACCTGGTGAGAAAAATCTTTGGTTTTAGTAATATTGCACAAGCACAAACAATTAATTAGTTTAAATATCTGTTAATTTACATTAATTTAATACCACGCCATTCACATATATAGAAATTTGTTACCTTACTTTTAATGGCTTCAGGTCTTATGATATGTATCACCATCAGCCAAGTATTATCTTGTTTTCATGTACTTTATTAACACATCTCACAATATGCTTTAATAATTATCATAAGTTGCAAAATATATGTCCTTGACACAGTCAAGTGCCAAAATTATATTTTATCACACACAATTCACTCATATCTTCTATATACTTAAGAACTAATTATTTAGTATACTTTATGAAATTATACATTTATCTTTTTTAGTTTTATCACTTTTAGAGGAACAAACAGACTTTGTGGAATCGTGTAAAAAAGTTCTTTTTAACAAGGGTCGGTTATCAGAAGGATAACTTTTTTCTTTCAAATGTACATTTGATACTGACACAGGAATTTGTTCTGTTCTATTAAAACTTTCTTGGACATTACTTTTTTTTAAATCGAAATTATCGCATTGTACGGTTATTTCTTTATTATTGGAAGATGAAATCAAGTTATCTAATTTAGATTTTGCTTCCATGTTCGATGGTACTATACTTTCTTTAGAAATTGATAATTTTGCTTTAGAATTTTTATTTCTCATTGGAACTTCAGGAGTGTAAGTAGATTCAGTGTAAAGGACATTATTTTTAGATAAATTATTATTTGAATGAATTGAATATTTTCGTTCTGGCCGTTTTGGTATTTCGTTTAAATGGCTGGGCATGTCTGTATTATTGGATATTTTTATATTATTTAATTTCAAAAGTGAATCAATTTCATTATCAGAAATTTCTTCACACAAAGTTTCTACATTATTTAAACTTTCAAGTGCAGGAAAATTATTACTTTGACAATCAGAATTTATATACAAAGCATCATCTTTTTGTATATTCTGATCTATGGATTCATTTTCTATATGAGTGCTTTCTACATTTATAGATTCAGACAAATTTGTAAAAGATTTAAGAGAATCATTATTAGTAAGTATTTTTTCTATCTTTTCTATAATCGTTGATTGCAAATTTCTGTCATTAAAAAGACGATCTTCTACATCATGAAGTTCAGTTTGTTCACTAATTTGTGTGAATTCTTTAAGGTTGAGATGGTTTTCTGCATCACTGATTTCAGTTTGTTTATTAATTTGAGGGAATTTTTTAATGTTGAAATCTATATCATTGATTTCAGTTTCTTTATTAATTTGAGAGAATTCTTTAACACTAGTATTAATATCAAATTTATCTTCTTCTTTAACGTTTTTAATATTCACATTATTGTTTACTTTTGTATTTATTATAACAGAATTATTTGTTTGGTTTTTATTATTGTCATTCTTATGACTATTATTTTTCGTTATCTGAAAATATTTCATTATATTCTTTGTATCAACTTTATCTGATAATTTAGGTTTAATATCCAACATTTGATCATTTATATCAGCAATATTTTCACTGTGAACAGTTTTATCTATAATCTTTTTATCGAATTTCGTATTAGAATTAATATTGCCCTGAAAATATTTATTCATTTGAAATTGTGCATTTTCAACAGATAATGGCCGAAGTTCTGGTAATTTTGTTGCATGTTTCATTCTTCTTTGTTTTAAATCGTGTTTTAAATTATCAAAAGCAGTATTTTTATATTCAGATGTTGGACATTTAATTACTTCTATAGGTATTGTTAATTTTGTTGAATCGGCACAGAATTTTTCAAGTGGTATTTCACTTGTAGGAGAAGGTGATGTAACAGTAACTATTGGACATGTAGCATCTTCGGATGTATTTATAAACAATTTTAATGAATCAGATTTATTACTATTATCATCATTTATTTCTGTTTTAATTAAATCTTCATCAGCATCAATATTCATTAATGCATCTTGAAATATTTCTTTAATTGATTCGCCAATGGCAAACAATGAAGATGGTAATGATTGCCTATTTGGCTTAGGAGAAGAAGCAATTAAGTCTGGTAAGTTTTCATTATTACTTACAGAAATTTTATGAGTCGATTCTGTTGTACTTAAAGACTGACTCAGAGATTCATTTGAAAGATCTATAATTTTTGATTTATCTATAATAATAAGATCTGTATTTGTATTTTTCTCATTCATATCAATGTTATTACTACATAATACATTATCATCATTAATAAGATCTTTATCAATATTCATATGAGAATACATTGTCTGATTAGTTATGTTTATACCATTATTAATTACACTTTTTTTAGTTGGCCCATCTACTTTTATGGAAGGTTGTACTGTATTAATATATTCAATTTTCTCAATATTACTTCCAATAATATCGTCTTTAGGAGATTCTATTTTATTACTTTTTATATTTGTTATGGAGGGCGATGTTATACTAGGGTCATGTATAAAAGTGGATTCAGGAAATATTAACAAATCTTGATTTACTGTACTTATAGAGTCTTGAAAAATTTTCACCTCTGTTTCTGAACCAGTATCTGTATCAGAACTCATTGGAGGAACTGGCAACCAGACCTCTTGTTTGCGTAATTCTCGAGCACGCGCATCATCTTCATCTTCTGTTGCAGTACTGCTTTCATCCTCTATATACAATTTAATAAAAATCTTGTTACATAGAATTTAAAAGAATATAATTAACTAGTTAACTTTTTTTTCGTAATAATAATCTCAATTATTTTATGATCATACCTTCACTGGTATATTCATCACTGGAGTCTTCATATTCATTACTTCCTGTATCAGATTGTCCGGCTGCATTTTGAGAATTGGAATAACGAAGTGTCCAATTTTTAGCTAATTCTAAAGTTCCCTCTGTGGTCAATGGCTGATCTATTGCTTCTTCAAAAACTTCATTATCGTCATCTGAATCACTGAGAATATAATACATTACATAATAAATATAATATAATTGAAATCTTTCTTTATAGATTTACCTCATATCAGAAATATCATCGCTGGAGCCCATTTCCGCTGCAGAAGCACCAAAATTTCTATCCGTCCATTCGTCTTCGTCCATTTGACTGTGTGCTTCTTCCGTATCTGATACTCTTGCTAAATTTTCAAATTCAATTCTTTCTGGTGTTTGACCTCGATCAAGTAAGTCAAGTCCTACGACTCCTTCCGTTTGTATATTAATCTAAAGTAATTTGAAATATAAATATAAAATATGGTTCTAACATCATTATGTATAATCTGAATTATATAAGATTTACCTTCTCTGGAACTATTGTATTAGCAGATGTATTTGCTACATTTTCTTTATTTACTGTAGATTTCTTCTTTTCAATTCTACCTTTCATAGTTCCTGAAAGACCAAAGTGTTGTGTGCAATAGAAGCGTCCACCATTCTTTAATCTGTCATATGTATGATTTCCTACAATTTAAAAGCATTATATTTTAATATTAAATTTTCTGTTCACATCAATTACATATACTGCTTATTGAAAATGAAGAAATAATATTAACCTATTCTTAATGAAGTTGAACAATATTCACAACGGAAACAACCTCGATGAAAATATTTGCCTTCTGCACTCAACCTTTCCATAAGATAAACTCTCTTATTACAAAAATGACACATTTCTGAACCTCCTTGCGCAGGTAATGTAAGTGGCGTTTTAGTATTCTGAAAAATAAATTTAAATTATTAAACATAAACACAAAATGTCATAATTTGTACAAAATTGTTTATGTATTTCCTGAATACAGTCTGTCTAAAAATCTCTTATCTATAATATTAAATACATATAAAATATTTACACTTATATAAAAAGGACTATAAACTAATAAAATATAATATTTACCGATTTTTGCACCTTAGGTTCTGTATCCTGCGTTTTACTTGAAAATTGCTCAGCCATAGCTGAGACTTTATTGTGTCCAAGTACACTACCCTCTTTAATCTTCTTGTCAATACTTTTAAGGGTATTGTCAATTTCGGCATACTTACTATTTACGTCCTTTGGATCATGCCCCTTCTTCTCCATTTTAATTTGTCGAGCTAAAAACTGAATAAAGCATATAGATATCTGAAAAACATTAATTTTTAAATAATATAATATTATTTCTAGCCAACCTGTTCTCGACTCCATTTCGGCACTCGTTCTACTTTGTCATGTCGCACTCCATGGCCCATTTTATTTTCTTCTATCTTTCTTTCTATTTCTTTAATATTCCAATCGGTTTTTTCAATTTTGCCTTGAGGTATTATACATATAGTTATTATTTTTAAAATATATATTATTTTTAAAATATAAAATGTATAATATATAAAATTATAAAATAACAAACCAATAGCACGTAGAAGATCTCTCGGCTTTTTTTCTGGCAACCCAGAACCCTTTAATTTATGTTCAATATTTTTTATTCGTCCGGAAAATTCTTCATCTATTCCATACCTATGATGACTGGCATGTAACTTAGATTCTCTGTCCTGTGAAAAATATATAATACACAAGCTTAAATTAATAATACTAACATATTATTAAAGGCAAATAAAACAATAAAACAAAATACTAAAAACAAACCAAAATATAACAAATATGTAAGTAAAACAAAATATAAAAAAATGAAAATAATACATGCAACAAACAGAAATCTGGAGCTTTTCAAGCAATCATAAGAGCAAAGTTTATACATTATTGTAAATATAAATTGAGAATTTAGAAGCCAATTAGTATAAATCGCGCATACGACATTTATCTTAACAATAATAATGATAATATTATATCATCTGTATTTATATAATAAAGATTAAATTTAAAACATCTTATAAGTTATTATACTATTGTTAGACAAGTAATGTTTTCATTTCTTACGATTTTTAAGTACTGTATTAATTGGTTTCTAAATATTACTAACTTAATTCCTAACAATGCTCACACGTATGTAATATCATTACATGTTTTTATATGTATTAATTATTTTTAGCCTGTAGGAAAGACATTCATCTTTTATTTTCAAAGCAATCATTAAACACTTGTTTCATGGCATATTATCATTCCGTGTTTACTTGCGTAAGAAAGTTTGCACCATTGATAGTGGTTAGGAATTGATATTAAAATTTTATGATAAAGCAGTTGTAAGACAACACTTTAGAACCAAACACCAGAAAATTAACGTTTCTTTCAAAAACGTAAGAAATTTTCTCACATAACACAGTATCTAGCTTACTGGGTGCAAGATTTTCTGCTCCAGATCTTTCACTCTATCCTTGAAATCTGGAGCAGTCTGACGATATAAGAATATCGAGTAATCCTCAAAAGGCTCATCTCTTTCCCGTTTTGCATTTGCTTGCAACATCTGCATACTTTTGTAGAATTGTTGTGTTGCCATTTTTCGTAAGAATTGCCGCCTCTTCATATGTTCGACACGATTCTTTTCTATTTCATCGAGTCTTTTCAGCCTTTCCTCCTTCACATTAGTTTTTAAAATGTATAATATGTGTTAACTTAATAAAAATAAACTACTAATTTTTGACAAACTGAATCTGTTTTCAATATTTTGTATTGTGTATTGCATATTATAATATGTGTGTGTGTATATATGTTTTAAATATATTCATGTTATTATTATTAAAAAATTAAACAAAATAATTATAAAAAAGAATTAAAAGAAGACCATCTTTTTTGCTGTGAAGCTCACTAAGATGTAAATATACTAAGCATATTTATCTCTCTGTTTTACATGCAAAGAAGCATATTTTACTATTGCTAATAATTACGTTTTTTCTTCCACAATATTTTCTACGCGTATTTTATAAATAAATTAAAATATTTCAGAAAATAGCAGTTGTATTGTTTCAATATATATACAAATATATATAAAAAGTTTGTATGTAACCGATAATCTTCAAACGTTCCATTCATATTTGGCAGATCATGCATGACAGTCAGAACGCAATAACCTCTTCCCGTAGCACAGTGACCGTAAGTCCAAGAATTATAAATAACGATATGAATAGCCCATGAAGTATTATATCTTCGAATTTCTGCCACCGTGACTATAAGAGCGTATAATAACTGTTTATAATAATAGCTCGCGTATTCTAATGTTATAACTAAAATCTTAAACATTTAAGCATAGCACTATTTGAATAATAAACATTTATCTCTTACCACTGTTGCACCAATCTTCTCCATACTTCGTCTTTTCCTAGACCGCCGGCTGATGGTATCACCTTTTTTATCTCCATGCTGTTGTATATTTTCACTTGATTGACGTAAACGTGAATGTCTTGTTCGCGTTGCACTTTCTTGTTTGACAATATGTCCAAGTAGTTGTGCTTTCTGTTCGGCCGTCAAATGGCTTAATATTAGATGCGATGATATTTCTTCATTGTCTAGTTCCTATAAATCATAAATGCAAACAAGACATAATATTAATGTTTAATTTAACTATAATAAAAATATTTTTAAATTTATGTACCAATTTAGGATGCTTTATATGGGGAATCTCTTTGCGAAAAACTTCGTATATTTGAGTCAAATAGGAAAACATAGCTAATTTATCAGGAACGTCGCATTGGGACATTTCTTCTCCGGTCATTATCTGAAAATAATATTAATATATAACATGAACATTATTAAAATAAATGACTAATCTTCCATTATCTAATAATTTACCGGAGATATGCCTAGTTCCTTTTCTAAAATATCAAAAGCAAGCTGATTATTTGTTGCTACTTCTGTTGTTTTTAAACTATAAAAATCAATTAAGTCAGGTCGATATCTATGGATAATGGCACAGATAGCCAAACCACTTTTGAAAGAAGCACCCATGTCTTCTATATGTACGCCTTCGTAAAGAGCAACCTGCTTTTGTAACCAACGAAGCAATACGTCCGGGTGCACTTGAGAGTCTGCTCTAAGATCTATAACAAATAGAAATGCTTATCCAATACCTGTATAAATAAGAGAATAATCTTATCTTCTAATTATGCATATTTAATAATAGGCAATCTTTAAATTTTATTTTACCACGACGTCGCCGTTTCTTAGGGATGTCAATTTCAGCTTGTACTGCTGGTTGTTTAATTATTTCTGGATCATCTGTATCCACCAAACTAAGCACTTGTGCAGGAGTAACCGAATGAGAATTCAAATTCGGATATCTATATAAAAAGAAAATCACGTTAAAATTACGTATAATGTAAAGTAAAAGCTTCTACCTTGTATGAGGATCTAAAGTGTATGCGGCATAATCCCTATTTAAATTTTCTGGAGTAGTCTGACCAAGAAGCCTATATATCGATTCTCGTTCAGCTATTACTTCTAACGGTGTCAGGGATGTACCCCATCCTTTTATCGCCCAGCAAGCATCAAGCGAACTAAGAAATCCTCTTGCACAACCAGATCCAGTTGGCCAAAATGGCTAAAACAATTATAAATTTTATTTTAAGAAGGCTAAGATTTATGAAACATATAACATTGTTACTTTAATCTAAAATTTTGGAGAGTAAAGATATAAAAAAATAAGACTGATAACCAATGAAGTTTCTAATGGCAGAATTAATTCTTATTAGATTCTATTTAGCATATACCATACCTCAAGAAGACTGTCGCCGACTAGAATCATGAGCAATCTATGCCCGTTGTGATGTAAAACACGACTTGCGTTTTCTGCAGCGTACATCGATGTAAAATCGAACATAGCCACATCCGGTTGACCGTAATGATTAACGGCGAATTCCATGTCCATCATTTGATACTCTGTCGAGAATTCAGCAGCTTCTCTCGCATACAACATCAATGCTTCTCGATCTACATTTTCCTTTGCTAAGAGTTTGGCAGTGTCAGCATGATCCTAAAAACGAAAAATTAATTTTAAATTTGGAATAAATATCGCTTCTTTCCTATAATATTGTTTCTTATAAATGGACGTAATTATGCAGTAAAGTCTTTTAATCGACAATAGTTTTGCTACAGATACTATGTGACTTTCACCTGAAGAATAACACCTTTATCGATCAAGCTATGTTTCTTGGCGGTCATGACGAAGTAGTGCGTATCGTCCTTGTAATAGACAATGTTCTCTAAATCGATACCCGTTTCTTGATACAATTCTTTGAAAAACTTTTGATTAAATATAAATGCGACACCACTGATCTCTTCAACTCGTGCTTCGGCTTCGGTTCTTTTATTTATAAAATTAGCTGTTATTGCAATAGCGAGTTTCCCACGAAACTCTTTGCGTTTAAAACCTTCGAGAGTATTTCTTTTTCCATCAGCACCGATAAGCACGTCGAATTCGTATTGCGATACAGGATGATCGGCAGGTGAGGTCTTAGCTCTCCATCCGATCTCTGTGAATCAAATAAACAAAGAAACGAATTGAACTTTGGTAAAAGAAATCTAAAGAATTATCGAATTAATTATAGAATACACATAACAAAATATCAATTAGAAAAATATTCGTTCATCGACTTCGCATCGAACAAACATGTTGTTTCGACTGCATTCAGGCTTTTTTATATATTCTATATATACACACCTTCTGTTCATACGGTGTTAAAGCCAAGACTATCAGACATTTTCGAATAATAAATGCATTTTGATAATTTATAATCCTCCTTCGATTTGATAATTTCAATGAATTTATTAAATGTTACGAGTAAAGGCATTGTACACTTTATTATCTCTAACATATCAAACAAATCGTATACTTTGAAAAATACGATGTTTTAATATTTAGATTATAATAGGATCATGGCTCTAATCGAAGGAAGTACTTACTGGCTTCCTCTTGATTATCCGGTGGTGATATCAACGATTCGAAGCTGACGCTCTCATGGAACTCGACGCCGAGAATAAGGGCGACCTTGAGTAAGATGCACTGCAGCTGTCGTATGCTGATATGATCGATCGAGCCGGCACAGAATTTTCCAAAGAACTTCTTCGCGCCTAATCCACGAAGATCTTGAATGACGAAGGGCCAAAGATGTAAGACGTTGTTTCTAGACATGCGGTCTCTTTTTTCAACGACCACAACTTTTGCACCTAACAGTTGTGCCTCTATCGCGGATCGAAGTCCGCAAGGGCCACCTCCTATAATCAAAACCTGCAAATGAAAGTTAATTCTCTTTAATAATTATCCTTTGAAAAGAACAAATATCGTTTGTCAATGTTAGCAGACGAGTTAACTCACCCTCGTATTGGGACATGCCTTTCCGCGATTGTAGCACTTGTGATTAGCCCTTTGATCGAATTTCTTCCACAAGGCTTGCGCCTTCCACGATCGCAGTTTCGACTTCAATTTTGGATAAAATTGATTTATCGTGTTCGGCTTGATCTTGAGCAACTCACAAAGATGTCGATAATGGCCAAGTATGGACTTAAGGGTGGTGGCATTGCAAAATTGATCGAAGACCTCGCTAGCTATAGCCGCCTCCGGTGAATTTGCCGTTGTTTGATATTTCTTACCCGATTGCTGTTGTTGCTGATCCATTGTGTTACACCTGGACTCTTACCGATAACGTAGTCGATGTATCATTACCTATGGCGAAGCGAACGTTCGCGGTTATGTAACTTCCACCTTCTGAGAGATCCGATCGCGTGAAATTGAGAAGAATAAGTGGGAAGAACTAGCTAGACGATCAGTTTAGCAAAATGGTATCCGCAAAACAGAATTTATGTTACCAAGTTGTTTTTCGCATACGTATTCTATATACATTATAACCGCATGTAGAATTATACAGTCGGTTACGTAGATATTCCGAGAATTTTTGAAATAAAATATAAATAAAATTATGCAGACATGAAAGAAGTTATTTATCGTAAAGTGTGACAAAGTTTTTCTTCTCCTATTTCATGTGCAAATCACTGATCTCTGTTAAAAAATTCTATGTACATTCTAATGTGCATAGATATAACTACGAAAAATGCGATCATTCGTACCACACTGTACAACCCTAATGTAATAATATTATATTTGCTATTGTTACTAGTCTCACTAATTTTCTGTAATATCAAAAACGACCAATAAATTTAAAATTATTTTAAGATTTATTAGCTCGTAACGAGGATAATCAGAAGATACAGGATCAGCAACCTAGATTCGAGTTTTGCGTTAATAGCTAACTCTTTTCGGCACGTCAACTTATATAGAAATGTAAGTATAGAATGTATGTAAATTTGGTGTTATATACAAAAGGAGAGTGCAAATGTTTATTAACACACTGCTCAATGTTAATATCTTGTATGCTCGTAACACATCGGAACGACTTCCGCATGTGATGAAAAGAATCGGATAAAATAGAAACTAGGAGTAATATTTACAAGAAGTATAAACAGCCAAGCGAATTGTGAAATCCGTTAAAGCGAGCAAAAACATGCATTAAACATTCGAGTTTTAATTAGTTTTAATCGCAATATCGTGTACAACCCGTAACATTTACTTCATGATCACATCATAACCATCGATCTTATTTTCTCTCCTTTCTTCTCTAGTAGATTTTTATGTTAAAGGAAGTAAGGAAGCACTCTTCGTGCTTCTGGATTCCGAATAAAATTACGAAACACGAACAAGAAGTCATACGTGACAGAGGCTAACGCACACGAAACTATGAAATACAAGGGCCCATCGATTTTTCATTATCTAAGATATAACAGTCGCGAGTGTCGAGACTCAAGTAGATGCTAGCAAATAGTAAACTACATATATCATCTTTTCCTCGATCACAGAACGACGACAATCATCGTAAACGAAGGTCACGATCTTTGATAATGTCTTAAGGACAATCATTTTAATCTTATTTTGTTGACATGATCGTGTTCTATGTCTTTTTATTGACTCATATTTGTGATAATGATTCTTTCTCCTTCTTATATATATGTTTTTATACATTTTGGTTGCTCTAAAAGTTTCTTTTGCTATCTGCAACTTTTCAACAAACAAAACTTTTTCTTTTGCTACTTTATCTGGTAGTGTTTAAAAACGAAAGGAACTTTCGGGACAAAATAAAAAAGAAACTTTGATACGCATACTTATATGGACATTAGTATGTTTTGTTGTAGTTATTTCCGATGAATATTTTTTAACAATGGATATAAGCAGTATAATTCCGATTAGATATCGATCACAGTAACGATGATCATTTAAAGTTTATCGGCATACAATTTACTGTAAGTTTTTATTATTTATCATGAGATAGATAGAGAAACTGTCAACGAAGCGATCGATCCGAATACTAAATACTAAGCGCAACTGAGAACAATTTGAAGTAGGTAAACAGATTACTAGGTTATCTATTAGAAGCTATACGAAACGAATGAAAATTGAGCAATCAACATGTCACTGCAGTGTCCTTTCGTTAAATGTTATTTTGGTACTGTAGTTAATGTAATGGTATCGCCGTAGTAATCCAGCTTTATCCAATGATGGTGTAGAACAGTCTGTTCTCGTAAAATCGTATATACCTATACAAAAGAAGCCCATGTTCGATGATGTTACAAAAGTAATAATGACATACTTTTATCTGCTTCCATTTAAGGTAATCCCTATTAAATCGCGTTATCGATAATAGATCGATATCGATACAAGCAGATGGTGTATATACGTAGTAAGAGTTTTATATCAAACAAAACTTATCTACTGATATGATAGTAGGCCAAGAAAAACGCTGATCCCAAGGGAGAAATCCTCTTTAGTCTATACACTTTTGTTTCCCCATTTGCTCGTGCATCTTCGATGTTCTATCGTCGCTAGAGCTTATCTACTTTATCTGAAATAAAGGCGATCGTAGAAAATGCGCTCTCAGAAGAGGGTAGCTTAACCGTACGCCTCTATAAATACGATGGTCGAGGAGATGGGCGAATGAACGGTCGAGATGCAATTCCTCGAGAAGAGAGAACTAGGGCGGCCGGTTCTTGGCGACCAATTTTATAACGATCGTGGGCGTTGAAAAGAAAAAAAAAAAAGGAAAAGAAAAAAGAAAATGTTGGCTGAAATGGACACGCTTGCTTGCGGGTGTTTTGAACGAACAAAGAAAGAGAATTGGCTTTCCGACAAATCTAGATTTTCCACCAATTTTCTTCTTCTCTAATACGTGTACACGTCTTTATTGCCACTTTCGAAAAAATTTAACTAATAGGTTAAATCGTGGATTTAGAATCCAAGTCACGGTTTACTTACGTATGTACGTACGTATCTCGACCGTGCGACTTTTCTTTAGAATCGAAGGAGCGAAAAAAAAAGATATCATCGTATAACACGGTCACGATTCACGATTAAACTGGCCCTTTTCTCATGTTTTCACGTAGACGATAAAGATTTTTCGTGGGCGAACGAAAAAGTTCGTGGCTGAAACTGTTACAATGCGTGCACCGAGTAAAATCAATGTGATAAGAATAGCAAAGCGCGTTTGATCGAATGAACGCGCTCACGTGCTCGACAACGAGAATATGCAGGAGAATATCCACGTCGGAGAATGCACCTAAGTAGTGCTGAACATGCTTCGTTGTTGTATGCAAGCTACGAAAAGGGAAAGAGGAAAGGATGCAAAGGTCTTCAACCTACGCGTTGTCTGCTAGTCGTCTTCCGTTAATATCGTTAATGAGTGCATGCACAGCCGCCGTTGAGTTCATAAAGGCTCCTGCATATAAAAGAAAATATACCAGTTCTCACTCTCTTTTTCCCTTTTCTTCTGTCAAAGAAAACCACCCTGCGATAGGAAGATCAAAGGAATCTCGTGAAAAATTTCACAACCTTTTTAAAGACGTACTTTCCTAAATTTTTAATGTCCTGTGAGCATAATTTTGCAAAGTTGATTATTCTCCAAAAGAATTATCGTCGCACATGACTCCATCTTTGTCCAAATTTTCTAACAAATTATACTGTGAAAGAGAAAGTTTTCATTACGCTTCGTTACGACAAAAAAAAAAAAAAAGAAAAAAAAAAGAAAAAAAAAAGAGAAGAAATGAACTCTCGCCAAACATAGTCAGGCTTCATATACTAACGAATCAAATGCAAGACGAAAATTAAGCGTACACTCTCCTGTTTTGATTAAAGTACCTCAAATAAAATTAAATCATTAATTAAACTTACTTAATTAAATCAGTAATGGCTATGTCATCCGCTTAATTTTAATGTTTGCATTTTAATAAGGAACATATCGTTCATAATCGATTAAGAACAGGTTTCCACGATTACTAATATCATAAGATGAGAAACTGCGTTTTTACGACGTAGATAAAAACTACATCTATCGTTTATATAGATTCTTATATTAAAATATATTTTTAGATTCTGCGCAAGAAAGTCGTTTGACTAGTTCGGAATAATAATATTACAACGAGGTCCAAGAACTCCTAACCCATTTTAAGATGAAAACAGTATGTGGGATGTAAAAATAGCACTTTCATATAAATAAAAACAATAAAGTGTGTTTAAATAAAGATTTTGTAGGTTCTTAAGCGAAAAATACCGTAGCTTATATTGTACAGATCGACGACTTCGTTGCCAAGAAAGGATGACGAATGAAGACGTAGGCGAGATCGCTGATGCAAGATCGATTAAATTAACTGGTATGCTTCCTTCGATACTTGATAACTAATATAAGATCATCATTCTATCATTATTTTTTATAGTATCGTAAGATCAATTAACACAACAAAATGTATCGTAAAAAAATATTTCCTGACTTCTATTCATCGTTCACCATTCGAAGGAAATTATACCTATTTTTGTTGAAAATTGAAGAAGATAACAAGATTAAATATTAATATATATGCTGTAACAAAAATTCTGATAAATATAAATGTGATAAATACAAACAAGATTCTATTTCCTAGGTATCAACGGAGTATATCATCTAATACAATACTTATTTCTACTTGAATATCTTTTTTCTAAGTATAGAATAACAAACAAGGGATCCTTATCAAACAATAATTATATTCGTTGGCGTATCATCTAGTGATTCAATTTTTCAGAAAAAAGTATTAATGAAACACGTTTCATAGAGGAAATGTGTATTCTGACTCATAACATGACGCGAGAGAAAAAGAGAGAGAGAGAGAGAGAGAGAGAGAAAGAGAGAGAGAGAGAGAGAGAGAGAAGAGAGAGAGAGAGAGAGAGAGAGAGAGAGAGAGAGAGAGAGAGAGAGAGAGAGAGAGAGAGAGAGAGATCAACGCGAATCACAATGCGCGATGTCGATTTTAATCAAAGTGATTAAGAATTTATCAAAGAGATTAAAGATAATAATACAGGAAATACGAGAATGAGAAGAAAATCTATTTTTCTGTCTCTCTATCTCTCTTTGTCTTTTCTCAATGTGACGTTATCAAGCAGACCTTGACTTTCCCTCCCAAAAATCTACATACATACATGTAATTTTCATATTAAAAAAAAAAAGATTCTAAATGCTACATCAGAGTCTCCCATTTCTTTTTTCAAGTTAATTGACACAATTTTACGAATAAGTGGGGAATAATAAAAAGAAAAACACGAAATTGCCAACGTAAACTCGGCTCGTTACGTTCAGCACGATGTTTTTC